TGGTGAGAAAAATGAGGGAGAATACAGGTGGATGTAGTGACATAATATCTAAGCAGAGGACGGGAAACGATATCTCAGACCCGACTGGGAATATTGGAGCATGGCTAAAATGTTCCATTTGAGCAAACAGATTATATGTGCCCTACAGAGCAAAAGCAAATGACCCATGCAAACCCACAACTTCACACAAACTGAAGGAGTTTTTGAAAAACCCTTGCATCTCCGAAACAGTCTACTGTTGGAATTAGATTTGGTAACTATTAGTTTTAAGGCCTTAATAGTCCAATCCTTCAAAGACATTACCAAAATACAGCCCTGTGGACTTTGCTTGCTATTTCCATTTATAAATCTGAAATATGGCAGTGGTTGACAAGGACATAACTGCAAATAATAAACATGTTCAGAACACATCTTTTTTGTGGTGATTGTGTGTCTTTCTGAGATTTTTCAAAGCACATTTCTATAGCATAGGCACTGTTCACCTTGGCCTTTTCAGAATAATTGAAATGTCTTTGTCTGATCAGTTCATGGTTTATGAAGCCATGTGTGAAGCATGTGTTTCAACTATAGGATTCCTGATGGAAGGGTGTTGAGGTTGGTTCTGTGCTGTTTCCTCAGTTTGTACTGAGACCATTCTTTGTTGCACTCAATGGCCTGTCATCTGCTGTACTGTTTGAACTGGGATTTATATTTCAAAAATACTTTAATTTAAATTGCAGATATCAGCAAGAAACCGGGGTGGTCATTCTGTGATCTGTAACTCTTGTCAGGACGGACATTTTCTTTTTCTGTCTCTGATTACACATCCCACATTAGCAACACCTAAGAAAATTCATCAATACAACCTAAATTCTCCACATGTATTAGCTTGAGTTATGGCTTTGACCCCCTCTGTGCATTAAAATACATTCAGCTGGAGTTTCACTTAAACCTTTTAACTTTCAAAGGGGAAGAATTTCTGTGCATCTGACCTCCAGCGATCCAGTGGAAAATATGCAATTGGATTATCATGATACAGCTGTTTATATTGGAATCTTGTCTGCTAGTGCAAAAACGATATTATGACTTATCCTCATGTCTTTTTTTTGGCTAGTGTACTGCATAAATAAAATAGCTCAACCTCTTTAGCCTGGAACGGAAGACCTCATGGGTATTATTTCAGGTATTTCAAGTCACTAAAGGGGGGGGGTAAAACTGTATTTACACAAAGAGTTGGGGGTGTCTGGAACAATCTCCTTAACCATGTGATGGAACTCACCAACCAAGACCATCAACAAGCAGCTAACCAAGATTTGAAGTTACCAGCATATAAATAAGCAACACCATATTTGCTTGCCTGTACCTTCTCTTAAATCAAGCTGTATTTATGTTGTGCTCTTTCAAAGTTGTGCCAAAAAAACATTAAGCCGAAACAAGGTTTCCGAATTCCAATCCATCGGGATGCCTAGCTCTCCAAGTTTTTAGACCAGCCAGGTCCTAATTTATTTTATAATCTGCACAGGTTCTATTGCATATAAAACACTCAAATATGCACATTTATACTAAGAAAACTTGGCCACATTAAATTATATTTGAATCGGACATGAAAATGAAATCATTAGTCTTTAGTTGGATCCAGAACCTCGACTCCTGGGTATCTTGAAGATTGGAGCTCAGAAACCCTGAGCTAGAGGTGTCTGACTCACTTCCTGGAGAGCTGCACAGTCTTCTGGGGGTTGCTCAGATTGAAGCCTTACAATTAACCAAATTGACATAAAATAGTTACTGGTTCTCTAGGGGTCAGTGTGGAGTAGTGGTTAAGGCACAGGACTCATTACTGGAGGGCTGTTGGGTAAAACTCCCAGGGCAAAAAAAGTCAAAGAAACTGCACCTCAGCCAAAATTTTCCTGCTTTTTTACAGACAGAAGAAACCACTCTTTCTCCAGACGGCCTCAAACTATCCATCTTTGCTGGCCACCCTCATGGGGCAAAAGAAGATGGCAGGGTGCTCTAGCCAGTGAAGACACGTTGTTTCCTAAATGAAGGCAACTGATCCCAGCTGGGTGTGAGATAACCTCTGATGCCAACATCCCATGCAGGGGGAAGTATTTTATTCCTGCTTTTCTTCAACACTTCACAATACGGAATATGCTCAGGCCCAGTGAGCATGTAGGCTTTGAAATGATTTTTGAATTATTGGCCTAGCTAGAAATGGAGCTGATTGATTCAGAGCACTGCAGCTATAGTTTTTTCTTGCAAGTGTTGAGATTTTCAAGTACATCAGATAGTCAAACCAGCGAAGCCAATGAAAGAAGGGGTGGCACAAATGTGCAGAGGCCTTAGGGAACCACATTTGACCCTCTCACACTAAGCAAAGGGCATTAAAAGATTTTTATGGTTCAAATTTAGGAAAAGTACACTGCTTTTCATACTAACGTTAGGAAGAAATGCATTAAATATATTGAAAGACCAGTGTATCCAGAGCTTTTAACCTTAAAAGGCATCAAGGACACCACAATGTTGACAAAGAGGGTTAACAGGAGTAGAGCAGTGTCTATTAGTGAGTGTGGGGAAAAAACTGATCGTAAGCACAGGGGTTCACAAGTGGACTGATAGATTGCTGCCACTTGTTGGCAACCCCCTTTCAGTTACTGTACTGTATGTTGCACTAGCCAAAATCAATCTCTGTTTGTTTCTCTTTATTAACTGACACGTGCCGATTCAGTTTTTCTCTCCTGTGGTGCTTTTGAGCTACATGGCTCATGTTGTTAGAAAAACCTTGCTAAGCACTAAACCTTCAGGAGATACCAATCAGTTATGCCTCTTTTGTTTGCAATGCACCAGCTTAATTACTTTACAATCACAGTGAACACAATCCTAAGCAGTGACTATGGTGACCGATGTTTTTAATTTTCCTGAACATACATCTTTGGACTTGTTAAAGAATGAGTTTTGTTCCTATGTAAAGGATATTCCTTTCCCCTATTTTTTACAATTTCCAGATAATAAAGTGCTCTTAATTTGAAAGGCAGTGCCAATGGGACAGTATGCCTGTTCAGGCAAGAGTAGCTTCTCAAAGAGGTGAACTCACTAAAATATTGGTACGTACTTTCGTGGAAAAGCAAAGACAGCATTCTATAATGAGGCATGCTTGAATGAATATTGCCTTAACTGGAGGTTTGTCTATTCTGTCTCAGTCAAATCACAGGAGTTCAGGTTCCAGTTAATGTCAATAGCCCAATGGTTGCCTTATCCAGGTGTGCTTGGCATGAAGCGAGATTCCACTTAGCACGAGACAAAAAAGTCCAGTACATGGAGAAGAGTAAGACAGATCACTTCCCTTTCAATACACCACTACATGTTAACTCCTCTGCTACCAAATGGCATGTAGGTTTTAGGCCTAACTTGAGTAGTTCATCAATAAAACTAATCCATGTGTAAATACTCAAACACCTGCATATTACAAGGTATGGGTTACGTGTTTTGGGAAGGATGTGAATTGAAGAACAGTGGCTGGTTAGAATACAGCTGAGAAAGATTAGCAAAAAAAAACATCACGAGAACTCGAGAGCTAATCTCAGTACATTTTTGCCAAACAAGTGTAAGCATTCATATCATAAAGCGGGGTTAGTAAATAAACAGAAATTCTGTTAAAAAAACCCATGCATCCGCCATTTACGAACCACTGAAAGCATGTGGCTTTAGAGTTTGGGGGAAAATATGTGTTGAAGTTTCCATGGTGGAGCAGCAACATTAACTGGAATCTTGAGAGGAATTCTTCCACTTTTCAACTCTGTGCTCGCCTAAGCTATGAACCTAATCTTGGGTGTATAAATTCAAGTTTCTGCCCATAAACAGAGCACATCCTGTTTGAAACAGCTGGCTGATAGCTAAGACCCACAGAGGCTGTCAAGCTCCTATTTGGACGCTATCCCGGCGAGAGGTCTCCCATACATAATGCGAGAATCCACACGTGTGCTGTTCATGTAAACACTGAGGGCTAATGAGGACAGACGCAGAGAGGGCTGTGACTAACGGGATGACGAATGGCCTCACTTTTTCTTTCAGGCTCCAGGGCCTTAATGGGAGGTAGGGGTCTTCAGGGACTGTGTGCTGGGGATGGAGACCTGAGCACTGAGCAAACAAACCACATGCTCTCGAGCTCGCTCACACAGCTCAGCTGAAAGCTGGCTCTGTATCTCTGGTGAGCCCCTGACAAAAACTCTGCTGTTCTCCACACCGTTAGGTACTGCAGGGGTTGAAGTGGGAATTTATCTGTTTGGGTTGTTTTGATTTAGTTCATAAGGAAGCGCAGTCCACTCAAGTTTTATGTCCGCTGCACACAATCAAAATGTTCATCGGGATTGTTGTGCAGTTGTGTTTGGACAGTAAAGCGGATGAAAGGTCCATGCAGAAAATTATCACTCTGTCACAAGAGTCACAAAACATATTCTACTCTCTGCAGATGCATTGGGAATAAAAAACGTATTTTCATCATAGGTTAAAGAACATGGTGAATTTGGCCACACACAAAATTAAAAAGAACTGCAATGAAAAAAAGCTGAGCAACAAAACAATAATGGAAAACTAGAAGAAAATAAGGAATTTAAAAGCTATACAGTATTTAACATTCAGTAGATAATTCCATTTTAGTTTGTTTTATGAAATATTTGCCAGTTATTAGAATTTGGTAGCTCCCTCTTGTGTCTTCACACTGCATTCAGTGAGACCAAATTAAAGCTACACAGAGCAGTTAAGGATATAAGCTTTACAGGAAGCAGAGCTTTAGGTTTTCAAACTCGTATTCTAGTGAAGGAATTGCAAGAGGCTCAAAGAAATACTCAAGCCTGCTTCAAAACACAATCTGATTTCTGTTTGATTAGCTGGGCTTTCAAACAGGAAGAACTTTGACACCAGTGTGTTGAAAGGTGCTCTGAGTGAATAAGGCTGCCAGGGTGTGCTGGAGCAGTGTGGCACAGCTTGAGCTCTCCAGATGAAGTCACGAGACACTGCTCGCTTACCTGCATGGAGATGGAAATGAAATCAATGAGGCTCCCAATTCCACAAAAGCCAACTGTGCAGAACTTCAGCAGTCCTGGAAAACGAAAAACAACCATTAATAAAAGCCCTGATAAACTTTAATTACAGCGCAATTTATGGTTTCTTACAGTATGTTTGCAGGTGTGCGTGTGTGTTTACATTAATCCAACAGACATTCAGGTGTCTGGGCAAACGTTCAGCACTTTATTTCTTTCTAATTCTTGATATGTGTTACAGAAGTGCTAATTAATTTGAGAGGTATAAGTTTTAAAGATTAAAACCGAACACCCCCCTCCCCCATGTGCACTCTCTGATAATGCTGTGAAGCTACTGAAGCTTTTATTGTGTGGTTTTTCAGGAGAATGACAATATAAAACTCAGTTGCACCCTCAGGTATGACACAACAGGCTCCTTTGGTTGACTGAAGCTTATGAATAGAACCTTCATATGACATGAAGGTCTTTGCTGCCAGTAGCTTGTTAGATACTGTATTTTTGTAAATCTCAGCAATCCTGTACTGAGACAGACAATAAGTTCATCAACTCGGTTGAATTCCAACCCTCTTCCCCCGGCTGGCTCTACAGTTCTACAGCATCTTACTCGACAGAAACAAATAGAGATTACTTCTACACTGAAACAGAAATAAACAATGTTTCCACTTTTTTAGGTGTCAGCAATTTTTTTTCCCCAAAATTTAAATGATCAGAAATTCACATTTTCACACCCATTAAAAAAACAGGTTCTTATGTAATGGAAGTTGGGCAAAGTGGTCCCATTTAACACATTGCATGGCGTGTCCGCTCATTGACCTATCATGAGCTGGAGTCCTCTGATGAGCCCTGCTCATACTGTGCAACGGCATCAAGCTACCTATAAAACAACCAAACCTGATAATCAATGATGTCCTAAAGATGCCTGATAGGATTTTACTCGATTCTTCAGTGAAAAGGGCATTAGCTCACTGAGTCCACTTCCAGTGGATGCATGATCCAGGACAGCCAGCTGAGGCTCTTAGATCAATGAGTGATGCTCATTCAGTCACAGTGCTGTAGGCTTTATAGAAAACCTTCATTCCTCCACTACTGAAGACCTGTAAAGGACATTTTCATTCTTATAATTTTAAATGGAATTTGAAATAACTACACATTTGGGAATTACACGTGTTAATAGGTTGGTGGGCTATTAAGATTAAAAAAAAAAAGAAAAAAGAAACAAACCACAGGCCTCTGGCAAAAGAATTCTGGACTATACCCAATAACCCTGCTCTTGTAACATCCAGTTTGACAGACCATAATGCTTAATTAGCAAAACAACATAATTAGTGAACTACAGGCCAGGGCCAGGTGCTTCTCTGTATAAGACTCTTACCAGCCCGTGACAGCAGCAAGAGGCCCCATGGTCCAACTAAAATATATTCTATACCTACACAAGGAAGGCTTTCATCAGTGTCATTCCTTCTGTAACTCTGCAGGTGTGTAATTAAAGAAAAAAAGAAACCAAACAGGATCAGGCTTGCCTTATACATTTGATTTATTATTTATACTTTATTCTTTTGAGGTGAGATCATGACAGCATTATTCACACGGAGCAGTGAATTTCTCACACCACGCCGGGGCAGTTTGGAGTGCTGTGTGTTAGCAGTTTAGATGTCTGTTCCTTTCAAAAGGTGGATCTCAAAAACCCTGGTTAAAATGGTTTGACTTCTTTAAAAGGAAACTGAACTCACCAAGCATGACTTTCTCCTTACAACTAATTTAATCTCGCACAGTCACAGTGCAGTCAGTTAATTTTTTGTGCTCTTTGAGATGCCAAGGCAACTTTGTTTTGCCATGCAAAGTACCTTACACTTGCACCAGCTTTTGTGTAGTGTAGCTGGACTACATAACCAACACACAAACCTATGTAAATGTTAATGCAGTCCATACTGAAGTTTAGCTAAAAAGCTTGGTTTGATCTAATATAGTGGGATGGACTAATGTCAAAGGAAAACAACACTTAAAGGTTTAGACGAGGAATGTGCTAAAAAGGGTTACTGATCCAATTTAAATCATTAAAAGCTGTTTTGTACCTCCCATAGAATAAGAGCTAAATCCAGGGATGGAAAAACACTCCCGCTTTAAAGCAGTTTGATCTGATTCAGATTTTAAGGGCCTGGGCCATCTTATACAAATTGTACAGTTGAAACACAAAAGATGCTACACACGGTATGACAAAATTCAACATTATTCAAAAATCACTTTTGTGTATACAAAAATAAGGTAACAAGCCCCAAACGTTCAACATATTTACAACAGCACGCAACCTGGAAAATTACTGTGCAATGCAAAACTTACTGGCATCTATTAGCAAAATACCATATTTCTGTTGTCTGTATTGTACATTGTATAAGATCCACTTATCACAAGGGCTCCTTTAAAAAGGTATGATGTTTGGCAAAGGACATGCTATTATTTCTTCAAGTGGCATACCTGTGTTTACTGGGACTTCCATACAAACCGACCATTCATGGCAAGACTTTTCTTTCATATGTCTCATTTCAGTGCTAAACAATAAAGAACTCTGAATGACATGAGATGAGATGACAGGTCTTCTTCAGCGCCTGCATTTCTTCTATCTTTGATCTGTCCACATCTGGTGGACAGCTGCTTCTTCAGAAGCATGTCTGGAGATCAGTGTGTGCTCCTTATATGCCACCGTTCAGTCAGCAGACTACCTGTCTCTTTAAGGGACTGCCAAATCACGCTTTCCTGTCAGATACCTGCAGCTTTTTTAACTTTAACTACCCTGCTTCAATATGGACTTTAAAAATAAAAATGTGAGATAGGAAATCAGTCACATTAACAATCAGTTTGACGTAAGAGTAGAGGCAAAGTACATGTGCAATGCCTGGTATGCCTGATCAGGTGCTACATGGCCAGCACAGGCAAGCTAACCTTCACTGTTCCTTGGGATTCTCATTCAAGAATGCCTGCAGGCCTGCATGTTTTATCGCTGCCTGTTAATCTAGTTAGTTCTCAGTTCACACCGTAATTTGCACATTTTTAGTTTCAAATACGTCAAGAATAAATACCACTTCTTATTTTAGGACACTGCTAGTTTTCACTTGGTGTCACACTGGTTCAGCATTGCTGCCTCACAGCATGGAGGCCCAGGGTCCAATTCTGGACCGGGGGTACCATATGTGTGGAGTTTGTATAATAATAATAATAATAATAATTGCTTACACTTATATAGCGCTTTTCTGGACACTCCCCTCAAAGCGCTTTACAGGTAATGGGGACTCCCCTCCACCACCAATGTGCAGCATCCACCTGGATGATGCGACGGCAGCCATAGTGCGCCAGAACGCTCACCACACATCAGCTATCAGTGGGGAGGAGAGCAGAGTAATGTAGCCAATTCATAGAGGGGGAGTATTAGGAGGCCATGATTGGTAAGGGCCAATTGGAAATTCGGCCAGGACACCGGGGTTACACCCCTACTCTTTTCGAGAAGCGCCCTGGGATTTTTAATGACCACAGAGAGTCAGGACCTCGGTTTTACGTCTCATCCGAAGGACGGCGCCTGTTTACAGTATAGTGTCCCCATCACTATACTGGGGAATTAGGACCCACATGGACCGCAGGGTGAGGGCCCCCTGCTGGCCCCACTAACACTTCTTCCAGCAGCAACCTTAGTTTTTCCCAGGAGGTCTCCCATCCAGGTACTGATATATATACCTGGTATATATGCTGCATGTTCCCAGTTGCATGCTGGATGAATAGTGTTGCTTGGGTGACACATAGGCAGCTTTCTTTGTCTCAGAGTTTTTCCAGCCATTGATCATCCTCTTACCAAATAATTCAATAAAGTGTATTGTATAGATAGTCTTAGTCTGTACCTTGTATTCACACTGTAGAAAAAAAAAAACTAAAACAAAGTTACTGTGTGGAAAAAATAAATAAAAATGAAATCCAATGCAATATTTTGAAAATGACATTGATAGTTATTTTAAGAAATACCGTAATGTTAAGTAAGTAATGTAACTTAACATTTAACTTAACAATTCAACTTAACATTAAATAAATGAAATGGTGGAGTCTACAATTACATGAAATGATGAACATTTAGTTGAAAAGTAACTTTTAGTACTACTGTGTAAACCATCTTCCGAGAATAAGTTAATTGTGATTGCTTTTATGTGGGAGTTCAATGTTCCCCGTATTTGGGAGCACACCTGGAATGCATTGTCAAAATTACATTTATAGTTACGGGGATTAAGTTTTTACTTTACACTCTCTTGATATACATTTAGGAACACATCGGCCACTTAATCATGACCTACCTGTACATGCTTGGTGCATCAAACTATTTTTAATATTCAGATCTTCACAGTGCATCTAAACGGGAGGGGAGGCGTTTGCTATAGTGTCCCATGTGTCACACGTCACAGACCAGCCTCTCTTCCGCAGAATGAAATCTCTCTGGTGTGGTGGAGCTGCATATCCAGTATGTCAAAACAACTAGCCCCATGAGGAATTCCCACACCCTCAGCTCCTTTCCACATTTCTATCAACAGCCCGGCACAAAATAAAAGAACTGTCTCAAACTGTGTTTATTGTGCCTGTGCGTCCTTGGACCCAGACCACAGCTAACTGTGGCCAAGAACCCCATTACAGTAAAACCACGGTTTGACGAACTTCTCTTTAATGAATTTAATGGACAAAATCTGCTACAGTTGAAATTTTTCTGTAAGGTCACAAAATAACCGACTTTCCCCACAATAACAGATAGAGTTAAATGCAAAAAATGATAAGTTGCATTTTTTGTACAACATATCTTTAAATAGGTCTAAAAGACATGACTATTGATGGTGTCCACTAAGATAGGGCAATTGGTATAGCATGTAGCAATTGCGTGACACATATACTCATATACTGAGTGTTTTATTTCCTCACAGGGAAGGTGGTCATTGTTATTGTGGAAGTAACCTGCTTTAAAACACGGGGGTAGGCAAATTGGTTATGCTGAGTGTTTGAATATCATATCCTTTAGCGAATTGTATATAGTATATTCACCATACATGAAATAAATAACTTGTGTATTAATGATAAAAATGGCACTTAACAATTGCCACTGATTATGTTGATTGCAATTGATAAAAAATCCAAAAAAGATCCACACGTGATTTAAGGGACATTCAGCAATAATGGACACCCCTTTCCCCTATTAGTCTGTTAAACCAAGGGTGTACTGTACAAACAACTTCACATACACAATCTGTATATAACTGAAATGAAAAATGCAAGTGGGATTTTTCCTCTTCAGATGATACCGTTTAGGAGTGCCAGTAAGTCTTTCTGACTGGAGGATGTAACACAAGAGCCTGTGTGTGTGGCATGTAGCAGCAGCTGCTGCACTCACCTAGTGCTGGGTAGCCCAGATAGAAGCGGTCAGCTCCCAGCCAGCCAAGGAAGAGGGACAGGGCGACTGCAACTTTGTATGAATAACCACTTCTAAACACACAAAACAGGACAAAATAACGAGGTCAATAAGTGAGACTCCACACAGCTGCTCCCAACCTCTTCTCAGGTGAGTCTATTCCTGCGATCTACTGTTTCTAGCTGACTGCTTCAGCCCAGCTATGAGGTGGTTAAACTCAGGCAGTGTGTCAGGGCTGGTACAGAGCAGCCTTGTTCAACAGAACGGCAAGACGGAACAACATTATAGACATGTCTGCAGTGTTTGGCACCAGGGAAAGCAAACTACTGGCAAACTCTCCTTTCAACCGCTGATCAAGAAGAAGACCCCTTAACCTTTAAGGTGAATACTCAGATTAATTTGCTACTGCAAATTCAGAGCTTCAGAGCTGTAGCCATGAATTCACTGGGACAAAACAGAGAATAATCTGAAAAGCGCTAATACAATGGCCAAAAATCCCCATTTATGATAGGCAGAAAAGGTCTGAAGGTTTTACTCAACAACAAAGGGCAGAGATTTGGAGAATTTCCGCAGCAGTTCGTCTTTAGCAACACGGAAGGAAAACAAAAATACTAGAATTGTGATTTCTGAGGCTTTGAATCTTACCAGTTGGCACTAGAATATGAAAGCCTTGCTCAGGCTTCCTTATGAAAAGGAAATATTTTACAGGGTCGGTTTTGAAAGGGCTTTACAAGGTCAGTGCAGCTTTGGGTTTCACTCATTTTGACTAGGAGAGATGTAGAGATCTGGCAATGCTGAAACATTCAAAGGAATAAAGGAAAAGCATGAACTTCTGCCTTGTCTCTGTCTTCAACACATTGAAAAATGAAAGAATATATCAATTTACTTTGGCTGACACTTTCACCTAAAGCAATACCCAGCTGCATTCATTCATACAGCTGGACTTTTTAATGGAGCAGTACCTTGCTCACAGGTACAACAGTGGGACCTTACCTGGATTTGAACCTGAAAAACTTCCAGTTATGGGTCAAGAGCCCCTAGCTACTCCACACTCCTGCCTGCCATTTCATTTATAAAGGAGAAGTAAACCTGGATTTTCCATTTTAATTGCATGTTCATGTAGAAGTGGTTTACTTACACATTTCGGCAGGGGATAGGTTTGTAAAATCCAACTTCTGCTCCTGTGAAATTCATGACTGTCATATTGGGACACCGACAAATTATCCCACAGGCAGGAAAACACTCAACTGAAAAGGTTCAAGAACACAGATTCAGCTTAACATAAAAAGAGTTAAAAATTCCATAACAATAATATCAGCTTGCTACTTAATGCAGTTTTGTGTTCAATAGTAGTAAGAAAAATAACTTTTTACCACTAGTTATAATACTATCACTACTATTTTTACTGTTGCTTTGTTAAAAACACTTTTACAAAATAAGAAAAATGTTTCTGAGGCCAGTTGTTTAGAGAACAGACGTTTGCTTGCAGGTTTTTTTGATCAGTAACAAATTGCTTGCGAGTCCTTGCACCAGATCAAAAGTTGTGCATCACTCTACAATAAACCCCTGGCCCTACACGATACGTGAAATTGACGTAGTCATTTCATCTAATAGTTTCAAGACTTTTCTGCGACTAGTAGCATCTGATTCTTAAATGTCCCTTAAAGACATTATAAAGAAATAATACCATCTGGAGAACTTGGTCTTCTCAGAGATAAGTGACATGCCAAGCACTCTGTGCTTATATAAAGGTTCTTAAAAGCCCTTGCTATGTAATTTAAAACACATCATTTCAGGTTGTAAGAACAATATCTAGACAGCGGTCCCTCACCAGTAGCAGCATGGAAACTGCCTTCAAGACACACCAAACAGTGAGAAATAATCAATACAGTGCAGAGCACAGCACAGATACAAATAAGCAGTGAAACAATAAAGAGAGACCAAACAACAGTCCCTCTGCACTGCACTTTGACATTCCACATGGTCTGAGCTGCCAGCTCCTGTAGGATCCAATAGGAGCCAAAACAAAGAACAAACCTAGTGAAGACCCAGACTGTGTGGGTGAAGACCAACACTAGAATAATAGTTCATTAACATCAAACTCACCGTAAGCTATTAGATCTTTACAGTTTTCTGGCTCTTGCGTGTCATCGTTTATTTTGGGATCCTTGCACAGATATGTGTTGAAGATTAAGGAATAGCGAGTATCCATTCAATTTTTCTAAACAGTCCACTTTACACAGTGCCATAATACATCTGAATCAATTAAACAGATTAGACCAGGGGTATGGGTAATTTGGGGAGCACTTTTTATTAAGGTAGTCACATACAAACATACAATAATACCCTAGGCACTGGGGACAGCAATTTCTTCACTGAATCGTCTCTGATACTGATAGTTATATTAAACAAACAGCAAACAGGGACCAAATGTGGCAAAAGGTTTGTTTGCACAAATGCCAGGATTCTAGACTGCTTATGCAGCTCATTTGTAACTCGACTTTCGCAAAATTAACCCTCGACTTTTTCGCTCTAGCATATCCAATTACTATATAAAGACTAAGCAATGGCATCAATGTACAGTAGCTCTTCATTTAATAGGGGTATCACACAGTGAATTGACACAATTTTAATAAACTTATCAAGTATGATCCAGCAGACTAGTGGATTACCCAGCATTCAAAGGTGTGCGAGCATGCAGTAATAGGCTACTGATAAAACCAATCACCAATATGATTTCAAATGTTTAACTTAGGGTGACCATATTTTGGCTTTTCAAAAAAGAGGACGGGGGGGATAATCGACACTCAACACATGCCTCCAAAGTAATGAAGCTTTATTACTTTTTCTAATCAAAAATCAATTTAAACTCTTTTATTAAACTTCTTAGTAAACATTTAAACAGTTGCAGGGTTGTCATTTCTCATCCATAATTGGCACACAAGGAAAAAAATCTAGCCCTATTTTAAACTTTGTTGTTCATTTTAACACAACAAAAGTCTTATCATCTGAGGAAAAAATGAAGACATCATAACTTAGGAGAAGTCGTCTTTGGTTGCAAAAACCTTTTGAAATATAATGAAACAAGTTAAACATTGTTATTTCTCATGGCCTTAAAAACAGCCACACACACAAACCCTTTTCAGGCTACGCTGCGTGTAAATTCAAAACATCTACCGGTAATGCATGGAACGAAGGAAAACATGTAGGCCTATGTTTGTTTACATAGTCTGAGTACGAGCAAAACAAAATCACGGACAATTTTTGGAATTTTATAAATCCCGGTCGGACCGATATTTTACAGTAGGTCTCAAAAAGAGAACATGTCCGGGGAAAAAGAGGACGTGTTGTCACCCTAATTTACTGTACAATAATAATTGCAATAAATTATATATATATATAATCGGATTTGTAGGTCAAAATATGTAGGATCTCGCGTTTCTGGAAGAAGCAATAACCGTAGTTACAGGAATCGAACACCTCTAAGTCGTTGTTCTTGTTCGTATTGTATTTCACACGTCAGACGCTGTAGATTTTTTTTGCTCACATACACATATCACAAAAGTTACATACTACTACAATACGACCAAAACGTATTTTGAAAAAATCGGACTTTATATTAGAATATCGACCTCAAATACAAAGATAGATTTTAACATGACGGGAAATTCACAACAGTGTCCCGAATACAAACCAGAGGATTTATCACTTATCAAAGGATATTGTCCAAGCAGAAGTTTGTCACACTCTTTCACGTCGTCTGTAGACACCGCTGCCTCATTAGAACTTGTAAAATAAATTAAAATCCACAAAAATGACAGTAAATACAAGCCTCGCTTCCTGGAGGCAGCCATGCTGGTCGGACACGTAAGTCACGTGAGGAGGGAAGCTCTTTCACCTTAAAGGCACACAACTGGTTATTTTTTAATCTTACAAATAACGCATTTTGTTGCATAACAGTGGCTAACAATGAAAACTCCACTTAATACACACCCATAGTACAGCACCGTAGTCTTTTGGCAACTAAATAGAAATGACTGCAATTTAGAATTAAGTTAAATATTCCATAGATTTATATTTAATTACTCTTTCTCAGACTCGTAACCGCAAATGGTTTATTTTAACAACGTCCCTTTCAATGAAACGAAAAAGGAGGCTTTATTCGTATAAATAATGACATGGAAAACGTGTGGATTTAGCAAAGTAACACTGGATGTTCGTAATCTGCACCAAATGTGCTTCTCCAGGTATATACACCTGTCTACACGTCCAGATCGTAGATTGGCGTAGCTGAGGAGAAAGCGCTGTTACGGACAGGGTGAGCTCTCCCTGGCACGGCTTTTTCATTTCTACACTTCCTGTTTCTCAGGTGAGGTGCGGTCATCCGTAGTTCACAAACTTCCGCTGGACAGGTAAGCCGAGAGAAATCACTGCTAAGCGCCGTTTTTTATTTCTTGTACCACTCCAGCTACCTAATGTAGATTTATACAAAAGCAAGATCAGTTGTTTAACTAGTAGCTGTTCAGAGGCGAAAGCACAGATTTTGAAATACAGCTGTATTTTAGCAAGTTTTAAGAAGCATAGCATGGACGCGGATGTTAGTCATTTCTTGCCTTTTTAAATCCTCGATATTTGCATGATTTTAATGCTGTCCTATCTCAGTTTGTAGATGCAGTTCGCATACAAAAAGTAACTTTGACAACGGAAGAAAGGAGAGAGAAATGTATTCCCGTGGTGTTGAAAATTTGATTGTGTATTTTTTCTTAATAATTACAAAAAAGTAAATGTCACTTGAATACTCTTAACTTTGTTCCGTTTCCTCGTACTTTATGAATTTTAGAGCTTAGGAGTCAGAAGGTAAATTCAGCGAGCAGAAACATATGTTACCCGAGTACAACTAACTTCCTGTTAGGCAACCCAGTTCAGAGAAGGCAAGACGTGTTGGCAAATTAAATTCAGTTTCTAAACTTCTGATGACAGTAATAGTATACCAGCTGGATAAAGATTAGCCTCGCCTCTCTTCCGCTAAAGTTTATGATGTTTATCGATACATTTTTTAAAAAGCCTATCATTTTAATTTTGCGTTCAATGGCTCTACATATCTCGTAGTTCTGTGTAGTATGGTTTTGAATACGAGCACCGTTCCCTTGGTGTTGCTGCTGTAACCTAAAATGTGCAAATCCAGCATAATTATATAACATGCAAGCCAGCTTGTTTTAGTTTAGGATTTTTCGAATGAAACAACTTTTGTAGTAAGTTTTTAAGTTAACAATCTCTTTTTTTCATTGTTCTATAGATATTAGGAGAACATCTTCAGAAGAAGAAAAAATGCTTGAAAGTATCCCATCAGGTATAAATCCCTTGATATATGTTTGTGGTCTGTATATAGTTATATTAGACATTTCTGAGCTCCTGACTTAATATGAGTGAATAATATATTCTGAACTACTGTAGGAAAGTTACAATTATGGTAATACATTTTTGGGGGCTAGAATTGGGTGGAATGTGGCCAAGGTTTCTTCCATAAGAAAGTAAATTAAGAGATAATTCCACCTGTTCACATTTCTATGTACTCCTCAGTAATTATTTCTCGGTGTACAGTTTGTAAATGCTGCGTGGGAGCAGGTTGTGTTATGAAAGAGATGGGCACTCCCTTAATCCGACAATCTTTGTTTTAGCTCAGCTGCGGCAAGGACAGGTTTCTCTTCAGGCACATTTAGCAGTCTGCTCATTCGGGAAAAGGTGGTGCCTGGCTAAGCCAGCTCTTTGGTTTGCAGTTTCGACCTCAGAGAGGCAGCAGGTCCTGCAGGCCCTGGAGAGACTGCAGTCCAAGCTGAAAGACCGGGATGACCGGACGCATAGCGAGAGGCTGGGAGCGCTGAGAGATGCCTTGCGGAGTCCGCTTCTTGGCCACATCCTGACACTGCAGCACTCCATCAAGCAGCTGAAGGAGCAGGTGTGAAAGGTCCTGGGGAGCACTGTGTTTGCTGGCTTCCTAGTCACAGGCTGCTGCTTGTAGCTTTCTCTCTGCAGTCAGCATAGAGACACATTTGCTTTCAGCTCTCAACAGGTCAAATGGGATTCGAAATAGGTATCAACCCTGTACCAGTGTCTGAGTTTCAGAATACTCATCAGTCAGGTGTGCTGCCTGAAATGGCTTTGATTGGACTTTTCCAGAAGGAAAAAAGCCTATACACCAGTGGGTGTGCCATTTCCACAGTGGGTGGGTCTGACAGTGTCATTCCCATGTGTGTCTGTCCATCATCCATCGATTATATAGTAAGACTTTTTTCATCATAAATTATGACCAATAATTTGAGCAAAGATCTGCTTGCTGGAGTTGTAGGAAGCAGTACCTTTGAAGTTGGGTATTTTTGGCACTTAGGACCGGCAGAAGAACAAGTTAAATAAAATGTCTAAACAAGCAAACTGATCAATTACAGCATGTCATTAGCACTAGAGATTTAGAACTGGCTGTAGAGTACAGTGCTCTTAGGAAACGCTATAAGTCGACAATGGTACGGAGAGCACTCTTTTTGACATGTATTGTGGCATTAACTCTCACACTCTCTCAAAAAGAGAGAAAGTCTAGAACAGACTAGAAGAGGAGTCAGAAGGGCACTAATAATCTAATTTATGTTAACCCAAAGATGCAAAAAAATATACTTTTTAGAGGATTAGAAACAATGGAGACATTTCAGTTAATTCTTTCTGGCTTGGTTGATAGTGACTTACTGACCCAAGAGTCTCATTCAGCCATTCATTGAAACATTCCAGCTATCCTGCTTTTAGCAATGTGGCAGTGTAACTTGTTGCAGATTCTGACAACATTTTGTTAAGGAAAGAAGTGTCTCCTGCTTCCAGTCCTAAATGCACAGTCTCTTTATTAGTGCTTGTGCTATTGGGCATTTGTTTCACTGTTGCCTGTAAAGGAGTGGTCTTGTTACACTTTTGCAGTCGTCATTTGGGTTAAATGGGCTGTCAGACAAGTAATATCAAAACATCAAGCTACTTGAAAACTGAAACCTGGTTCAATAGTTTATGTTCAGTTGGAGGTATGCTGAAGTAAAATATTTCAATATGTAACCTGGATGACAATATTTTATGCAGGCAGCAAGAATGTTCAAAAATGGGTTTGTCTTATCAGTGTCCAGCAGCAATGTTTGGAGAGCAGTGGCTTTCTCTTCGCTATCCTTCCTTGAACACCATTCTTATTGAGTTGCTTTCTCATAGTTGAGGCATGAATAGTCACATTAGCTGAGGAGAGGGAGACTTGCAGTTCCTTAGGATGTTACTCTGGCATTCTTTAGAACTTCTTTAGAACTTGATTTTCTGCTTTGTTCTTTAAGAGATGTTGGTAGGACAAGTGCTCTTGGGTAGAGTGTCTGTGGATTTGAACAGTCCATTTGTAGACTCTCTGACAGTAGATGGGTGGAGTCTCGTATCCTAAGTAATGGTGCTAAGTTTCGCGACTGACGACTAACAAAATCTTTTTTAGGAGGTCTTCAAAGTTTTCCTTCGATTATGGCATGACTTGTTTCCACACACCTGTATGGTGAAGACCAAACTCAGAATGTTTCTAATCTTTATATAGGGTGGGGGCTTCTAAATTTAGCCCCCTAAATCTGCCTATTTATTGAAATATATTATTCAAATTAATCCCTTAACTGCGCTAATGAAACTAGGGTTTCATTTACGTTTTCACATCCCCTGTAACTCATTACTCATTGTTTAATTCATAATTTAGTTTAAAGAGATATGAAATTGGTTATTGTAAACCCTGTTGGATTTACATTAAGACTGAAAGGTCTAAATCCTATTATGGTAAAACTGTGAAATGGAGTTCAAAGAAGGATAGCAGAGTTACTTTCTGGCTTTAAAACAACATCAAACAGGTTAAAGGAATTGAATCTCCAGGTTTTAAGAGGACTTAATGTAAGTTTTTAAAATCCTGAAAGAGTTTTGTAAAGCTAGTCCAAAGATACACTTCTGAACACAGAAATATCAGTGTAAGGATAAAAATGGAAGCAAAGAAAATGCATATTTAGAACTAAAAACTGGAGGCTCTTCTTTACAGACAGGGTTGTTTTCGTTTTTTTGTTGGAACATGCCACAGAGAAATTTAGCAATTTGCAGATTTCATGGAATGTTTTGGTCAAAAAGCAACCAGATGATCAAGATGAGCAAAGTGTCTTTCCCTGAGTTAGAACTTTTCTTATGTGATGATAGCTACTACTTTGTCATTGTATACTAAGTATTTTTTAAAGTGAGTTTCCATGTACAGGAATGTATCCAGTAGTTGTGGGTTTGTTTATGATGTACAGTATCATTAACTAGGCTGGTATCTGGTTCTACAGGCTTGGGTATCTGCCTCCCTTATACTGATGGCACGGCCTGTGTAGTCAGTCTCTGCTGAATATGTAGCATGTTTAACAGACATATTTAACAGATCTTTTGCACAGAAAGTCCGTAGGTCATTAATACATTACTTGTTGGAGTTTCTGGCAGAGCTGGAGCATGATTTATTGGTTTTTTTAAGCTGTGGCTGGAGATAAGAGCATTTTTAGTTTTCCTTCATTGAAGGTTAAACAAAACATGCCAAGTCAAATTCTTTTTCTTGAAATAATAGTCTAATTATCATTTGTAACCTTTTTTACACTACTTGTACAGATTGTACTTTCCCCAATGAGTCCTGTTGCGTATAAATCTGAGAAACTCATTTGATCCTATTAGTTCTGTTATGGGTCATAATTAATGTTTTCCCTAAGGTATTCTAAAACGTAAATAAACAACGCACTTGCTTTAAGGTAGTATATCCAGAAAAGATTGAGACCTCCAGAGAAGTAAATTTGTCCAGTTCTGCAGACAGCTAGACTATAACTGTAACAATGTGAATATAATCAAGGCATGAAGAAATCTCAGCCTTTCAGGTGCTCTTGCTTTGAATTTCCATGTGACGTTTTTGCTGCAGTATAAAGAAGGCTTGTCGGTCCAGTGATTAAGATGAAGATTCTCAGTTCTAAGCCTGGCTCTGCCTCTATCTTGCTATGTTGCCCATGGCAAATTATTTAACTTTCTAATGCTCTGTCCTTTGGATGAGATGTAAAGGTGAGATCCTGTTATACTTGATTCTGTACAGCCTCACTTCTGTGAGTCACTTTAGGGAAAAGCCTCTCATTGTAATGGCTAATGAATTATTATAATGCTTTTTTCACAGGCCAGATTCAGAGATTAATGTAGCCTGCAGTAAGTGATTGTGATTACTAATGATGTTCTTATTCAAATATTGGGCCTGTTTCAAATGCCATTTGTGGGTAGTTTTTATACCATGTCAGCCAGTGACGTTTTCTGTTTTTTTTTCTGCCATGGTAAAGGAAATAGAAAATGTATACAGTGGTTCAGAGCGGTTTATTTATGACAGTTTTTATTGCTTCACAAAAGATGCTTTGAACATTTTATGAATTAAAGATAACTGTTCATTTTTCATGCTACGTTTCACTTCCATTTTCTATATTATTTTTTCCCCAAAATTCCTTGATTTAGGATTGAATGCTCCAAGACGTTGTCCCTCTATTAAGCGGTGGATGAAATTGGCTCCACTTAATTTTACCCTCTACCCTCTCTAAATTGCTCTCAGTTCTCAGAGGCTGTTTTTTATCCTGTTTTGTAGGCATGGTATTCTCACATTGAAGTGCAGCCCTTTCTGGGGTTCACAGCAGCAGCCACTGTGAGCCAGCTCAGAGCGTATGTGAGCGCAAGAGTAAAATATTTAGAAGACATTTATGCAATTTAATTTACCATGTATTGTATTCACACACTGCAGCATGCTGAGACTAACATCCCTTTGGGAACATGTCTTCAACAACATGGCTGAGTAGGTTGTTCCACGTTCTCACAAAACTTTATGCAAAGGAGTGCCTCCTCTTCCTGGTCTTAAACACATTTCCACATGATTTCCACTCACGGTTCATGTTCATTTCCACTGGATTGGCTTTAGCAGTGCCCATGAGGGGAAAAACAACAGCACAATTTCTGCCGTGAACAGCTTGAATGCAACCTCTCCGTGATACGGACATGTTTGTATTTCTTAGATATATGACGTTGATGAAGTTTTAGCTAAGCAGCCTTTTGGTAGGAAAAAGGACAAACACATAAATAGCAGTAAATATTTAGTTCCTAATGTGCCTGAAAAAATAACTGCCTGATGTGGACACAAATTGTCAGTCTTTTGGTTTCCACACAGACAGTTCCTCGGTGTTGTCTAATAGAGACAGAAAAGGTCTCTCCTCTCCACAGTCTCTCCTCTCCCACAGTCTCTATTGTCTCTCCTCTCCACAGCTGAATCGCCTGCCTCCAGGTACTTCTAGTGACTTTGAGTTTTCCAAGAAGGGCCAGTTGATTCTCAGTGCCAGTCAGCCTGTCGGGAGCGATTATGGATCAGAAAAGCCAACTTCTCCTTTTGGAAATGGATTTTCCACCCCCAGCCATTACGCTGAAGAGTTCTGGAAAAGGATCGAGGCAGCAGCAGAGGTGTTAATTCTTTCTTTGCTACCTCATCTTTAAATACTTAGCCTTGGGCATCCAAAATCCAGTTTGCTTTAGTTGCTTTTGCAGACATTAGAATTTGGTGTTCTTTGTTATTGTGGAATAGTTTCATGATGTTCAAATAAATGACTAAAAACAAAATAAACATGATATAAGTAATTGCCAGTAGTTCATTGGCATCATTTTGATTTAAGGGTTGTTGATTGCCTAATTGACAGGGGACTTCTACAGTTTATACTAATTTGCATACCTTTCTACTGTATATAGAATTTTTCATACTTTAGGTCGTGTAAAGTATATTAGTTTTGTAACTGTTTGTCTGCTCTTATCGGTATTGTAGATTTTGTGTATTTTTATATATGATCTGTTATTTTGAAAGCTACTGAACTTGCAGATGCCCCCATTATCCAGGTCCTGTGTTATATCAAAACCTGGTTCGAACCATCATAAAAACCTGATCTCAACAGTCGCAATAAAGCCCTTCCAAACTCAAAGCTGGCATAAAGCAACACGTTTCAAATCTTCAGTTGGCAGCCAGGATGAAAATTTTGATGTAGTTCAGGCCCTAGGAATCATCCCTGAGAACTTACAGGCCTTTATCTCTTCATAAAGCATTTTTTATGCCCAGTGCTCTGAGTTTTGAAACACTTTGTTTTCTTTCTTCACGTCCTAGGGAAGAGAGGTTGAGCACATCAGCCTCCCGAAGCCTGTCTCTGGGGGCCTGGGCTTCAGTGTAGTGGGGCTGAAACGTGAGGATGTTGGGGAGCATTGCGTCTTCATCAAGCAAGTTCAGCCAGGCAGCATCGCCGATAGGTGAGTGTCGGCCTTGTTCAGCACAGAGGCTGTAGGCCTCTGCAGGTACTGGCCAGTTTGCATTAAAAACTAAAAGCTGGTCTGAAGCTTTTACTGATGCTGTAAATCACTTCTCTGTAGTGCTGGCATCATTTAATCCTCCAAAAGCTATCTTAAGTGGTCTGTATTCAGATGGATGTAATAGAAACAGACAATATAATTTCATCCACTGAAAGGAACTTGAATGTTGGTAATGTAAGGCTCCCATTGTGTTGTTAATGATTCAGAGGAAAAAATAAATAGAAGATTATAATGTGTCACAGATACACAAATTACCATAGACAGATCTCCTTTTGTATGTAGGTTTCATAATTAAGTGAAACATATGCACAATGTTTGACAACTTTGAGCTGACTGAGAAAGCAGCATCAGGGATTCAGTTTTCAAGAAATGTCAAAAGAAAGGGAGGTCACTTGCTTAAGTAGTAGATTGGATGTTGTCATAAATCTTTGTGCTTTCAAAAGTATAGGTGTTTAAGTGACATAGATTTAGTTCCTCTTTTTCTAGTTAACTGTTTCTTTACTGTATATTATTGGATTGCCTTTTGCTTTATTTTCAAGAGGTCTAATGTCACACACTTCTGAATTGACCCTTTGACCCCATCCAGAGTAACAACAGAATAAATTATGGCAATACATACATTGTGGCAATAAAGTATTCTGGTCCTGCCCGAGTTTCATGTGTGATGGATCGCTGAATTATTACCATGTCTGTGCTGGAAACTGGTGTCATTGGGAAGATAAAAAACAAAGAAAAGTTGGTCTTCATAGAGGTGTCAGCAGGGCTCCATCTTTGTAAAAGAGGCAGCATCTGAAAAGGCAGAAGAAGCTATTAAATTAGTTCAGTTAAGACAGAAATGAGCTGATCTGGAATGAAAACCTGCAGATGATGATAATAATAATAATTGCTTACACTTATATAGCGCTTTTCTGGACACTCCACTCAAAGTGCTTTACAGGTAATGGGGACTCCCCTCCACCACCACCAGATGCCCTGGCCCTCTGCGTTGAACACTCTTCTCATAAGCCATTGAAAGGAGTGATATGAAGATCCCTGCCCTTGCATAGATTCAAACACAAAATGATGTAGCATGCAAGTTTCCACAAAGCCACCCCACTGCTTTTCTGCTTGTGGTTATTTAGGCTTCTGAAATAAAATCTGTGTAGCTGAGAGTCCTACATTATTCCAACATTTGCTAGTGTTTTTTTGTGGATGGCTTTAAATACTCCCTGTATGACATCATTTATGAGTAACAATGTGAAAACAACACAGTGGTCTGGAGGTGAGTGCACATCTTGAGTCCTGGGACTCCATGGGAATCATTCTGTGTGGAGTTTGCATGTTGCATGTGCTCCCCATCCATTCTGTGATCATGGGATGTTCTCTGGGCACTCTAGTTTACACCCACATGTCCAGAGACATTCTGGCTGGCTTTAATTGGTGTCTCCAGATTGTTTCTGTTAATGAAGCGTTTGTGAGCTCTGTGATGGACACGTCCTATTTAGATAGTAGTGCCCTGTGCTTCAGGGATAAAGGCTCTGTGCTGCCGTTACCTGGAATATGTGCCTTTCTACTAATGTGTAGATGGATGGAGAAAATAGGAACACAGCTAACATGCATGCAGCATTTTAAAAGCTAATCTAAACGGTAATCTTTGCACAATAGATGAAGTGATCACCTTAAAAATATTATAAATACTTTTATGTAACTAATCATTTCCTTCCTTGTGAGAATAAGTAGATTTGGATAGACTTTCATTAAAAGTACTTATTAAAGTGTATAAAAGTGCATTCTTATAAGAAATGGCCAAACTATTTTTAGTACTGGATCTTTAATCCAAGATAAATATTTTAAACTCTAAATATTAAATCAAAAACATTGTAATAAGAATAACCTCAAACTTAAATGCATATTTTTTCAAGGCCTTGCTCATGATTTTCTCATTTAGCTCTCTGATCATTTCAAGCTCTTTTCCACGGTTTGACAAGGCGCTGGAGGAAAAGGAATAAATCTACGGTGTCTGATTGCAGGGATGGGAGGCTGAAGGAGAACGATCAGGTCCTGGCCATCAACGGCACCCCTCTGGACCAGAACATCAGTTACCAGCAGGCCACGGCCCTGCTGCAGCAGTGTGCGGGCACCATGCAGCTCGTGGTGGCCAAGGAGCCAGCCAGGAGCCATGGAGGAGGTCCGGACTTCATGGAGCACACTCAGAGAGTAAGAAGTCACAATATTTTTATAGTATAGCATGCAAGGAGCTCATACATCTAATGAAATAAGATGATAAACTCCTCTTGCATAGCAGTGAGATCCACCAGGCTTTAACACAGTGTGGTCTCTTACGTAAGGCAACATTAAATGCATGATATTTCAGGCTTGTTTACATTTGCAAAGATAGAGGTGTGATATTGTGATTTTAACACGATTGCTTTCCTGTCAGATTATTAGTGCATATGATCTGGGAAGGATCAAACTGCAATGCAATAGGAATCTAGTTCATTAATTGTATCGGGATCTAGCGCTTATAGTAATCATCTTTGAGGGAATTGATGAAAGTAGTATTACCATCTTGTATCGTGATCGCAGAAGCCTAAGCAAGGCTGGGCCAAGTCAGGGTCAGTACTGGGATGTGTGACCTTTAAGGAAAACCAGTTTGTTGCTGTAAGCAGTGTTAGTGGACCAGTAAGTGACGCTCTTTCTTCCTTACCAGAATTTCCAAAACTAATGCTGGTTGTTTCTGGGGACAAATATGAAGATAAGACGTTATTCAGTGTAACCTGACACATTAAAGATCATTAAAGATCCTATGGCACCGTTCTTATGAACAGGGGTGTGAACCCCAGTGTTGTGGCTAAATTCTGCTTCAGGTTTGTGTAATCTGGCCTCCGTAAATTTACCCCTTACAAGTAGGTCTAGTAATTTCTCACTTCTCCACTTGATCTGCTGTGTACTGCTGTTTAACCCGGTGCGTGATGCAGTGGTGGATGAGCTGAGTCCCATCCTGACTGTAAAACACTTTTGGATGTTTTGGGATGTAAAGTTCTATCTAAACACTGTACAAGGAATTATGTTTGATCAATAAAAAATTGATCTGTTTTCTGCTGTGAAGGCAATTAAAAAATCCGGTGAACGTGCCTTGGCAGCTATATGGCATACAAAACTGAATTGAAATGTAACGTGAATATGTTAGAGAAGTATCAAAAGAATTTGCTTATTTTTCTTGACTGAAGTCAGCACAGTGGTTAGGACTGTGGCCTTGAAGCGCTGGGTTATCCATGTTAGCGCTTGCGGCGCTAGGATACGACCTGCGTGGAGTTTGCATGTTCTCCCTGTGTTCACGGGGGTTACCTCTGAGTGCTCCAGTATCCTTACACAGCCCAAAGACATACTGGAAGGTTAATTGGCTTCTGGGAAAATTGGCCCTGGTGTGAGTGTGTGTGTTTTTATGTCATCCTGTCCAGGGTGTACCCTGCCTTGTGCCAGTTGCTTGTGGGGATAGACTACTATCTATCACGAATAAGCCTGTTAGTAGTAAACCTGAATTTTAGACATAATGGGATCAGATAAATGTGTACTGTTGTTACAGTAACTCTTTACAGCCAGATCCTTTATGAGTAGATCACCTGAAATATGCAATATTATCTTATGATTTATTCCATACAGCAGAATTTATTTTATATCAAAACTGAAAACCAACATGAGGTTATGTTCTGCCCAGACAGTTCTGTAAATTCCCTTGCAGAAATGGTAAGTCCTACATATTTCGAATTATTTTTTCAAATGTAATAGTGGGCCTTTAGAGTAGCTCCGTCGTAAAAGACCTGACTTAGAGAACAGGCTGGTTCCTACACTCCCAAGAACGCTGGGCTGAATTCTAGGCGGTGGCTGAACACCACAGGACATAGCTGGACCGAAGATGGCTAGTCTTTCCAGGGCTTGGCAAACAACAGTTACCCCCGTGACTTGTGAAGCAGTTCTGAGCTTACAGCACTACACATTGTAGCTGATGCTCTGGCTGTGTGATCGGTGCTGTGTGAAGAGAAGCAGAGGCCCCTCGTGTGCCTGTTTCGGGAGAAGCTTACACACTATCACTATGAATGCTGGAACTGTGAGCCGTGTATATCCGCTGTTAGTAATGTCAGACTGGGGCTGGCGCAGGAAAAATAACAAGCAGTTCCGGAAACAGAAACCATTCCAGAAAACAATCTTGTTAATTCGAAATGTGCCTCTTGCCACAGATTCATGCTGTGTTTTTGTTTTCGACAGTTTCCATTCCTGGTGAGGTGAGGTTTTATGGGCTTGTGTAAAGGAGAGCTCTGGCTTCTGTTAATATAGTATGGCCTTTCTCTCACAGAAAGCCAAGCCCTCTCATACGGGGAACAGTTCCACACTCTGCACAGTCACAGTTACAGTATGATAAGATTCACAAATCGCTCCCCGAAACTACCCCCCTTCTAGGAGCAACGAGGAAAACAAGCCCTTTACACAGAAGCATATGTCACTCATTGAAGTGAAGGGGTCAAAAAGGCTCTCTCTTCACAGAAAGCAAGATTTTCTCACTCCGCTGGGAACTGAACATCTCCCAGATACAAACCACAGCCCCTCCCCCATGCCATCATTTTTTCAGATGCCATTTTATTATGGAAAGCTGCAAAAATATTTGTCTATTTAAATCGCAGCTCTTCATGGACCGCAGGGAGTGCCCCGTGGCTAAAAGTGCAGGTTTCTCAGATCACTACATCTGGGCTCTTTCCTGACATGCCAAGTACGTCTGATGGTTTTGCAGGACGTGGCCTCAAACCCTCAACAAATATCTTGAATCGTAATTATAGAGCACAGAAATATTAGACGCATTTTGCGTGTGGTACTTTGCTTGAGACACCTATCCTATGAGGAATAATCAGACTGTTAGATTGCCGTTCCCAGCTGAGCAGTGTTCTCGGAAAAAGAACATCTTGTTGAATTACTGTTATACTCAGGAGATGGCTTTCTAGTTAACAGCTTTTGATTTTGGACAGGAGGATGTTGTGTATAGGAATTCCCAGATAATTATTTTACAGGCTGGGGTGTGAGTGAAGAAAAAAAGAATCTGCTCAAAATTCAAGTTTTTCTAAACATATTTTAATCAGCTTCAGACAGGATAGTGTACAGTATGTGTTTGGAGCCACGCTCCTAATTTCTGTCACTGTTTTTCCCTCATGGTAAGACTTCCGTGTTCATAAACAGTATTGATTTTCTCAAAGAAAATAAAAAAAATTGGCACGTCCAACAAAATAACTTTTTTTGTGAAGGGGGGGGGGTCGGTTTGTGAATTGCCAAATTAACTGAACTTGGCAGGGTATGCTTAATCCAACTGTTTCAGTTAGAGTACAAACAGAAATAAGTAACAAACAGTTTCTTAACTCAGAATAGCTTTTTAGCTTTTCTCAAAAAAGGTGAATCACTCTAGGGATAACATTTTGCCTCCTGGGGGACCAATATAACCCCTCGCATTTTACCTTATTATGCCGAAGGGAAAAGAAGCAAAGGAAGAACCACATCATATACAAAGTCTTGAGGAACTTTAGTTACTGTAGTTGACCTCTTTACTCAATCTTGATAATTGCATTACATATGCTATTCAGCAAAACCAATATAGCTAGACATCAATGATTTTAACACATTTTATTGCAGTACAAATTATGTGCTTAGAAATTGGGTATTTTATGGATGACTGGGTTAGAACCTTTTCTGGGCTCACATATCACTTGCTGAGGCTTGAAGTATATCGCATGTAATGATGTGTTGTTTATAGCAGGAGGCTCAAAAACACGGCCTGTTACTGCCCTGAGCAAATCCACAGTTCAGACCCGTGCATGGCCTAGTAATCGCAACAAGCACTATTATAACGTCGCAATGTAATTCTTGACTGTACTGTGTCCATCTGTCCACTAGATGTCAGTCATAGAAATGTGGGCCTCTTCTGAAGTATCGATATTCAGAAAACTGGAAGTTGCCAAAATATTGGCAAAAACTGGAAGTTACAGAAAGGGAAGTACATAAGAATGCTTACAAAGGAGAGGATGATGTTTGTCTTGCTTAGCCCATTTGGTAGTTAGTAGTTCATTGATCAAAGGATCTCATCCAGGTGTTTCTTGAAGTTCAACTTCAACACCAAAGCTGGGTAGGTGGCTGCATTCTCCTGCAATGCTTTTGGTAAAGATGCATCTCCTATGTGTTTGTTTATTTGTGTGTTTATCTCCTATTGTTTATGTATTCCCAAAATGGCTGAGATTGTAGGGCCCAATAGGAAAGCTGTTTTCAGCCATATCAGTCTCCAAACAAGGCTGCTATCTGCAGACTTGGCCTCTCTAAAGATACTGATGAGCAGCTCATTGAGAGAAGCAGAGCTGTGTGTGCTTTGCACGTCTCTATTAATGCGAGTACCAATTTGGCAGAAAGTGCACAGTTTGCTATATTTGTGAGAGGTGATGATGAAAGCTATGCTTTTTTCTGCTAAGTTTTATCTACAGTCTGTGGTGGAGCAACAGTGAGTGAACTTTTCTTGGAGTTGATTAACTTTGTCCCTGTACATGTTTAGCCACCAAATGTTGAACAGATTCAATCCAAAATTGAAGAATTGTTTTTGCAGCGCTTACACAGACTGTTACATTGCATTAAAACATGTATTGAATCATCTTTAAGCAGAAATACGCAGGGATTGGGTCTCAGCTCACACTGAAAAATCAGCACTTAAGCCACTGTAGTCATTACAAAATGTTGTAAACATTTAACAGTCCCGAAACAAGAACCAAAATAACAAGGTCTTTCTCTATACATTATAGATGTGGGTGTAGTAATGCTGTTTTAAAGAAATTCTTTGAACTTATAACAGAAGTGAATCATTTCATGGAGGAGAATAAAATGCCTGTATCAGAATCTGAAGGTCAGAAAAAGACAAACAAGCTCAACATTCTTAACTAGAAACCTCAAGGTCAAAACCAGCTGGTGACTGAAATGTATGACAATGTAAGAGCATTCATAACAAAATTAAAACTGGAAAAATCAGATTTCCCTAGCTAATCTGGCTGGTGCCCCTGCACGTCAGTTACTTATGGGGGAGCTTGACTCTCAAATTAAGTTCAGTGGTGCTGAATGCTCTACGAGCTTGACGTGTTGCAGGAGTATTTTATATACTTCTTTCGGAGAGCTTTGATATGTTTGCTTATCCACTTACTATTGACGTGGAAACATTTGCACCAGGCAAGACTATCACAATTTTGCCATCACAAATCTTTGCAGGACCTTTACTAAAGCCATGTCCATGTTTGGGAATTCATGTTTGGAACACATTTTTTCCCTCACAGTGAACACAACGTCAAAATGCCAGACATGACGGATGCACAACTTTCAGTAATCTTAAATGTCTCAACTGCTTAGTTCTGGAAGTGCCACACTAACAACCTAACAGAATAAAGGCATTGCCAGATGTCTGGCAAACACAGGTGGCTATCTTGCCCACAGAAATTGCTTAGAGTTTTTTTTTTAATCTGTGAAACCTCTCATCAGTGACACCTGGAGAACTTGAAGATACTGGCTTTAAGGTCACATGAGACTCCTGGTTTACAGTCTTCATGTGCAGTTATGCCTTCTGAAGTGGTTTGTCATCTTTTGTGTTCATGTTTAGATTAGTAAAGGAATACAAGAAAGTGTTGTATGTCTCAATCTTAGTGGTCACTACTGTAAAACAGAAACCAAAAGTATTTTTCACTGTGTGTAGAAGGGAAATTGGAGAAAAGTACTATGATCACACATGATGTTATGGAAATTTCTTCAGAACAGTGCCTTTCCACAATCCCGTTCAAGGAGTCCAGCAAACCATGGAAACACCCCCTGGGTTTTGTAAGAATAGTGACAGCACCATTCTGAGGCATACAGTATGTAAGAAGAACCCATGATCTTTGATCTTTTGACCCTTGCCTTAAAACCAGACACACCTGTTAGAATGGCTATCATTTGGCTCATGTTCGTTACTCTGATGAGACAAGATCTGAACCTTGCTGAGTATCACTGGGAAATCATGGATTGTGTTCTGTAAGGCTATCTCAATCCTCAGAAGATGCTAAGACTGGGCTGCATAGACTGCCACAAGCCACGCTCAGATTGGCACTGTCAAAGTATCTATTCCACATGGTCATTGCTGCAAGGGCCTGTCATATCTGAAGCTAGCATCTATAGCTGACTTTCTGCAGGCAAGAGTGCATGAAAGCAAAGGGTGTATTTACTGTTATTTCAGTTGTCATTATAGTAAGTAAATGTTCCTGAAAATCCTCTTGATAAGTAAATTTGCGGTTGGTAATCTTAAGGCCTTCTGGCAAAAATAGCATTAGGAGAACTGAAGTCATGATTCCACCAGTTAAAATCCCTCATTTATTTCAGTTATAATATGGTAAAACAATAACATCAGAGTAAATGTAGATCAGGTCATGTGGCGTGTACTTATGATCCACATACTGTTTGAGAGCTTAAATGACATTTCTGTTCCACGTCTTACACCTGCACATTGTATGAATTGTAGATTCGTTTACGCCAAATGACTGACCAACAGCACTTTTACTTAGTCCTTCACACAACTTATCAAGCACTTTAATTTTTCTTTCAAGCAGATCATGGATCTAGGTCACTTAGCAATGCTGGCCTCTTCATCCTTTCTCATACGCTTAGGAGCCATGTTAATAAAAATTGCGGTTATCTCTACTGCCAATGGTGGGTGACTGAGAAAGGTTGAGATCAGACATGTGGTAGCTCTCACTTCTCTTCTTGTAAAAAGAACTCTCCCACCAGCAAGCATCACAACTCGTAGATCTGTCTACTTTTTGGATACTCAAGATCTGGGGGATTGCGAAAGGCGCAATGGGATACAGAAAATCTAAAGTGCATAAATTACATTTGCATTTAGCAAAGGATAACTGTACTTGTAATTGATTGCATTACTATGGATCACTAATAAAAAGAATGCGCAATGAAGAAAAAAAAACAATATAGACGATTTTATGGCCAAACGCATGAAATATAGGAGAGGGAATACAATACATCAAGATGAGACAACTAATTAGTGTAACAGAACCTACAAGCTTTCTTTTAATAAAACCCAACAGGCGTTGATGTTTCGGTATGTATTAAGGACTTTAATGGTGCAGTAAAGTGGTTCCCAGATCTCTGGCACCTCTGCGTTAGTAAAGTTCTGTTTGTCTTTCTGTTTGTTCTTTTTTACACTACTCAGAATCATTAGGCACAAATTAATTTCACATTGAGGCCATGTGTTAAGGGTAGTTGCTTTGGTTAACAGCCTGTCCTGATGGTTGTAAGCTGTTAAACACAGATTGTGGCAGCTGAGTTCAGATAATCTCTTCTTCAGTCATTTTCCCCTTCATAGAATAGACTGCTATGTCCTAATGTCAGGCAGATCTGAATGAAGCAAGTACAAGAATGTATGTTTTGGGAAACGGTTTTGATGATGACTGAGGGGATTAGCACTTAAGGGTGAGGAATGGCTCTAAGAAATTGCATTGATTTATGAGCTCTCCATGGGAGGGAAGGAAAAAAAATGCTTCTCCTGGCCCAGGAGAAAAGGAATTTTACACACAGCTGTTATTTCAAGTTTTAATTATTGGTCTTAATCACATTCAAAGTTTTTTTTTTAATTAAAATATGATAATTGTAGAAGAGCAATGGTGTGACAATTGTGTTTGTACAGAAAAGAATCGCTGAACAAACTCTTCACGGTCAACCATGCTTTCACTCATGGGGGTTCCCGAGCAAATGTTGTACGTGCTGTGTCTCTGTCACAGGTTGAGTGGGGGCATGTGGAGGAGCTCGAGCTGGTGAATGATGGGTCTGGCCTGGGATTTGGAATCGTGGGAGCCAAGGCCACCGGAGTGGTGGTCAGGACCCTCATTCCTGGAAGTGTGGCTGATCGGGTGAGTCCTGTCTTCTGGCGACGACGCACAGAACTCCTCAGCACAAATGCTTGGTAAAAGAGCTAGTCCCAGAACATTATACTGCTGGGAACGTGTTCCTTGGCAGGGATAAACCATGCATAATTATTTTGTCTAATTTAAATTTCATTTCTTTGAAATGTAATAACAAAAAAAAATTATCCTCAATACATTCTCATCTGTATTTCTTCTAAGTGAGGTGCTTAGCATGTTGGAATTATTCTGGGCACTCATTCATTTACAGAAGTCTCCTGAGATCACATACCGTGCATGCAGTATTTTATCACAGGGGTAAAGCATTAAGACTGGTTACAAAGAAGCTATTAGACAACACAAGTTTTCCTGTTACTTGTTCATATCTTTAGAAGGTTTGGTATCCAGGTATGTCTAAAAAGGAGAAATCTTCCACATTTGTCCTGGAAGGGTAATCACTGAAGTATCCAATATGATGGAAGATTCACTTTACATGTTATCCATTGTTCTAAACATACAAAATGGAGTCAATTTTTTTATTCAGCTACCTCCAAACGCACAACATTATTATCTTTTTCAAGACACTGATTAGCCTAGTGCTAGTGGCAGTAATTGCTGATATCTCCAGGGAGTTGTGGAGGAAGTTTAAGGCATCTACAGTGAGCACGTACTGTATACCATGGGCATGAGGAAGGGGCTGATCTTGCTTAAAGATAAGGTAACACTGAGTAGGATTCAAAACAACTTTCACTTCAAAACTGAAAACGTGGGATGCGTGGAATAAAACAGTACCATGTACCTGTAAAGACCCACAGTGAGCGGGAGCTGTGCTAACAATGTTGAGACCGATTTCCAGGGTCAAAGTGAAGTAATATTAGCTGAAATAGTAACAAACATACTGTACCTTCCTGGGTAAGTTAGGTATTGTTTTGACAGCCTGCAGTACTCTACACTACTTACTTGGTGGAAGCTGTTTTTAATGAAGCTGAATCAGTGTTTTTAAAACAAATGAAGACAAAAGTAGGATTCAATTTGTCGTTTTATGCCTGTTTTGCACAGGGACATGCTGCTTGATTCTTATAAAATCCATTCGATGGTAGAAGAATCTTTTTTTTTAACCTTTTTTACCCGGAGTCTCTGGTAAAAAGCATGTTCTGATGGACCCCTCCTGGTTCCCATTGAGCCTTTCAAAGCCAGAAACAAAATGCTTCTTGTTTAATAGCACAGTGCAGAGTTTTACACATCAGTGGACCTCATGCTCCAAAAAAGCTGTCCGAATTGAGGCTTTGTTACTGCTGACATTTTCATTTTAATTGTTTCATAATGGTGTTCTGGCTCCACAAAGCACTTGGTCTTCAAAACACCCCTGCAGTACAACTGATGCAAACATAGTGTTTGTTCTTTTTTCATGCAGCTTGCGTTCTCTTCCTCATACTTGAACTTGTCAGTGCAGTAGCGGTAGAATAATTTACCAGCCCAACAGACCTGCATGCAAATCTACCTGAAGTCAAGTGAGCATGACCAGCTCAGACTAATGTCTGGAGACTTCTGGTTGTAAAGAGTCCTTTCCTTCATTCACACATCATGGAAAAGTGGAAATGAGTTTTTTAACACCCTGCTATTTTCATATTGTATATGCCGATTTCTGCTTGGTTTTAAGACATGGTATAATGAATGTTCAAGTAATCTGCAAAGATATACGTACTGTATGATTTATACCAGAGTTTTTATTGGCAGACAATATTTAATGCACTTAATAACCTTGTTTCAGATGCAACAGGAATTGACTAGAAATACACACTTACAATGTCAACGATGATAGAAGGATTTACACTGTTGACATTATGCAGAGCATCATTTGTGTGTTCAGATTGTATTCATGGACATCATTTTGTGCTTCTAAGCAAAGGGGAATTTCAGTATTCAAATCGGAGGTGGTCAGATATGAGATTATCTCCTGGTCATTTCCAGTGCAGGATTTCTCCAGCCTGTTACAACTGCAGTTTTCCTTTTAGTTACACATGTAAAGAGATCTAATGAACGGTGTGGGATTGGTTATGAAGGGAAGGTGGCTCGTGTAGGAAGATATCTTTGTATGTAAATTGAGAGAATAGGTGAAGTTCACTTAGATTAAGTCGCAGATAGTGTGCAGTCGAAGGAGAAAGGAAATGCAGGTCTGGAGATTGTGCAGCTCGCGCTCCCTGTTAAGCCATGCTGCGTGTTTCAGGACGGGAGGCTTCGCACAGGAGATCACATCCTTGCCATCGGGGGCACGGATGTCCAGGGTCTGTCCAGCGACCAGGTGGTGAAGGTGCTGCAGAGCTGTGGCAGCCGGGTGCAGATGGTCGTGGCCAGGGACCCCCTGGGCGACGCGCGCCCCAAACCCCCGGCCCCTGCGGCCGCACCCGTGTCTGCCCTTCCGCCCATCCCGCCCCATGGACAGGGCGAGCCAGACGCCCAGCAGGTAAGGCAGTGTGTTGGACAGAGCTGGGCTCCCCGGCCGCGTGCGGAGGTGTCTGACAGATCGTTGGCCTGGGCAGTGAACTGTGCATCGGCGGTGACAGCAGGAGCTCAGTTTGGCTGGCTCATCTAGAGGACGGATGTGTCATAACGTTACTGTGCTCAAGACGGCACACTATGCGCATGACGGAGCAGGGTCCAGAATCAGGGTGACCTCCTGGTCACGCCATCTTCTCCTTCATCACACCACCTGGCACCCTGATTTCCTGTCTCATTCTATTTAAAATGTCGTGTGCTGGGCTGTTTTCCTTTGAAGCTTTGAGCGATGCACAAACTCCACTGCTGTTGAGTGCTCTCGTGAGCTAATCCCCTCACATGAAGGCACTTGGCTTGAGAAATATAATTAGTGATCATATTTATGGAGCTCTTCTGTCTTCGATAGCCTAGTTTGAAAAATGTTACATTCATTGCTCAATGAAACATGCTACTTTTTGTTTATCTACAGATTCTTATCTTGTGTGGTTGTTTATATTACTAGTCTCCAATTTTCTGAAGTGATATTTCTCTCAGTTGTAGTTTGCATGCATGAGAAAGAACATCTCTGTTACAAGTAATAGGCTTATTCCATGCTGAAAAGAGGAGAAAGCAAAAGCAATGTTTCGGCCTGTTGTTGTGTTTTCTTTCTTCGCTTTTCAGCATGGGATAAGCCTATTTACTTGTTTCTTTGCAGCCTATGCACACTGACGCATATACCCACCTGAACTATCTCTATAACAGTGTATTTCAGGGTTTGCTTAGCTATGAAAGGTGTGCTTGAATCTTGGTCTAAGCAATGTGGAAAAATGAAGGCCTCAGAGCAAAGGGACTCTTTCGGTGTACAAACTGAGTGCTGTAGTGCTGAACGCTGATGGGCTTGGGTGTGTTTAATTCATCACAGCAGTGGTCCCTGTAACTCACCAGCCACACATGAATGTGTGAATGGGAAGCAGATGGCTCTGACCACGATCACATGATAGACAATTGCTTACTTTTGCTTGCATTTCTTAATTGGAGTGTAGCATAAAAAATAATTAACTACTAGAAAGTTAAGAGAGTTTGTGAAACTGCTTTTACCCCCTTGGAACTCTGTAGAATGTCTTTCCCTGTGTGCTTTTGAGTTTCACCTCTCGGCCTCACAGTTGAACCTTGAGGGTTATGAGATCCATGACGTTCCCCTGCAGAAGAAGGAGGGCCAGAGCCTGGGCATCTCCATCGTTGAGCACACTGGGAGAGCCGGTGAAGGTGAGGTTTTGTGCTCTGCTTTCTTGCCGTTGAGTGTTTTTCCTTCATTTGCCTTTATTGTTAGTGTTTTGAAAACCTTTGGCAATGTTAAGTTTGAAACGTTTTTTCTCAGTTGGAGGTCCTTAAATAAAGAAATTGGTTTGCCAAATAATTAGAGACAGAACAAGAAAGAAAAAATGTTTCTTACAAAACAAGCTCCCCACCTCATTTAACGTAGTCTGAGCATGCATCTCTTCTGTGGTGAGAGGTAACTGAAACAAAGTCCTTGGGTGCCCAGGAAAAAAGTGATACATAGAATGCTGGCCCTGTTTTTCTAGTACTGTTAGGCTGAGGCCTGATTAATTTGTTCACCTGTGCACTGTGTGGCCTGCAGTCAGTAAACAAAGCTAAGACCACATTCTTCACAGACAGGTGAGATTTGCCTTTGTCTGCAAGTTACTGCCTGCACTACTGTTACCCTCACAGTGTGGTTGGATGGTTGGTTAGTCATTGAGTAGTAGATCACACCAATTGTTTGAGTACATTATCACATTTATGTGACAGCTGTTTGTGACAGGCCTTTCTTAATTGATCGATTTAATCAATTACCATACCAGGATTTCATTGGATCAGGTTTAGAATCGGTTAACTTATAGCTTCTGTGATCACACTGCTGTATTATTAAAAGGACATGAGGCCAGGTGAGTATTATAAGCATAGTGATGTCACTATGACATGTTCATTATATTTGATGAGCCCTGTATAGTTACAGTACCCTATACTATCATGAGACCCTATTTCTATGGTGTTAAAAGTACAATGCTATAAAAGTGTCACAGGCTAACACCTGGCCTGTTTCTAAAGCTGTGGTGACAAGCTCCACATGCCTAATGAAAATTGTTGGCTGCCTAATAATCTCTTCATTTCAATGACCTTGCATATGGCACAATGACCAATTTATTACTGTGAAATTGATGCAACCCCTTATATGAACCAAGCTGGAAGTCACTATAGCAACCCTGCTGGTGCAGGAGAGGACATGTTGTGACAACTCATTAGAAGATTCCTCTATTCCGTGTTGTGCACTGTAAGCACAGCCAAGACCATGTGTCCCCATTTCCTCTCTCTGCAGGTGCCTCAGTCCTGCTAGCTGATTCTCTGACCTCTTGTGCCATAGTGGCTTCTCATGTGCAGTTGGGACCAGGGGTGTCAAGGTGTCAAGGGGTGTGGCTGTCCTAATACAGTGACTAACTGCAGTTCATTCTTCTCTCAGAGTCTCCAGGGATATTTGTGAAAACTGTGATACCAGGCAGTGCTGCGGAGCAAAGCGGACAAATCCAAGTCCATGACAAGATTGTTGCGGTGAGTGCGTGCATTCCTTAATCAATTTTTAATTAGCTTCTCTGTTAACCCTGTAGGTTTAAAATCAGTAGAGGATGTCTTATCGGTTTGAGTCAATTGATAAGGAAGCTGAGAAAACTCACTGACCAAGGCTGAAATAATTTATTTAGTTTTTACTTATTCCAAACACCACATTTTCTGTTTTCACTAAGGTCAGAAAAGGGTCAGATGTGTTTTCTTAAATATATTGTAGGTATTTTCTAAACTGTGGAAGCTCGTGGGTTATGTAACATTTTTTTTGGATTTTGAAACATTATTATTCAGTTTATTTTCATACAGCATGTTTTACTATATACAATGATTTAAATATGGGCCATCAGTGTTATTAGTGACCCTCCTGGAGATAAGTGACCCTTTTTGCACTCATCCTTTTTGTAAATCAAAATCGGAAATACTATTCCACTACCTTTTTCAGCCAATGGTTTCCATTAGATGTACTGTAGTGTTGTAGGGCAGCATAAATATGAGCGTTCACACAGAAAAACTGCAATCTGTGGTCAACAGAGATCCAAAGACATGCTCTCAGCATCAAGCTGGAACAAGCCAGTCCTATAAGTGCCTGTTATAGGCGGAAACCTTATTACTGCCCTTCCGGGCTTCTGCCTATACTGCTTGGAGCAAAACTAGCTAGATTGATTGTGCAAGTCCAGACAGCAGTGGGACTGGAGAATAATACATGTAGTGGATTTCTGTACAATACAAAGGTCAGCAGAGCCAGATCAGATTGAGGAAAGATTAAGGAGAGTGTAATAGAGTGGATCACTGTAATAAAATATCAAATGTATATTATAGTATGCATATATTAACCAGATCTTAAGATGATTCATGCTTTTTAATGACTAGTTTCCATTACGATAACAACAGTCAATTCCAATCATGTGTAGAGCAGTTGAAAGAGTCTAAGTCAGGTGTTGGAACGAACAGATCTGCCCTGGGCGGGGCAGTTCATGGCAGACATGCTGGGGCTCTGATTCTGTGCCTGTGGCTGCTCTGACTGCAGATCGATGGCATAAATGTGCTTGGCTTCTCCAATCGCGAGGTGCTGGAGGTCATGAAGAGCACGGGGCGCACAGTGCACCTGACCGTGGCCAGGAAGAGGTCTTCGCAGAAGCACGTGCCTGTGGAGAGATCCCTGGATAAAGGTAAGGCTTCCTCATGGAGCTTTTATAATCATGAAAGAGCTGCACCACGTTTTGTCCTTCAAGGAGACTAGGAGCAGTGGGTGCTGGGTTCTTTATACAAAGTGTTATACTGTAGCTGTTTGGGGCAAGCTATCTCAGCATGTCGAAAGATGATTGGCTTCAGAATGTATCATGATGGGTTAATTAACAAAATCATCAGAAAACCAACCTCCTCTGTCTTAAATTTTTATCATTTTCCATATTATAACAACTACAACCACCACAATATCCTTACACTTGTATAGCGCTCTGGACATTTTACTGAAAGCGCTTTGCAGGGAATGATGATAAAAATGATGTCAGGCTGGGAATGGTACAAACAGCAGCCATAGTGTGCCAGTATGTTCACCACACACCAGCTATCAGTATGAACGAGAACAGAGTGATGAAACCAGTTCATAGATGGGGGTTATTAGGAGGCCATGATTGGTAAAGACCAGGGGGAAATTTGGCTAGGACACTGGGCTTAACATCTCTACTCTTTTCGAGAAACACCCTGGGATTTTTAATGACCATGAAGGACAGGATCTCGGTTTCATGTCTCATCCGAAGGCTGGCAACTAATTTTACAGTATAGTGTCTCTATCACTAAACTAGGGAATTAGGGCCCACAAAGACTGCAGGGTGAGTGCCCCCTACTGGTCCCACTCACACCACTTAGCTTAGCTTTCCAAGAAGGTATCCCATCCAGGTATGGACCAGGTGCTCATCTGCTGAGCTTCAGTGGGATGCCACTTGTGAGTTGCAGGGCAATCCAACACCTTGGATTTTTTATTATGCTGACCCTTTGCCATTTTATAGGCAACAGAAAAAATGTCTGCCATTCTTAAATACATTGTGCACCATGAATTGAATGATGAGAAATCTGTTTTACCTCTTGTCAGTCTTTCGGTATATCCAGCACAATTTAAAATCAGGACATCCCTCCATCTGCCTCTTTTTGTTTGTTCCAGGACAGGTTTACTTTTTACCTCTTGTCTAAGTCACTTCTCACTTTCATTACTGGAAAGTTTACTTCAGATCACTTCATTAATTTAAGTGCACTTTTTTCCTGACTAAATATACGGCATTTTGGTATTTATAACAGTTCCAATAAAGTCTGCTGAAAGGGAAATGAGGATGCTTCACACAAAGCACAGTCCAAGACTGGAATGTAAATTAAAATTATTGCTTATGATGTGAGTTTTGTTAATGTAGTGGTGTAGTTATTGGTGTTGGGGTACTGCCAGTCACTCACCTTTTGGAGCTAAAGACAAGGTCAATGTAGTTATTAAAGCATAACTGGATGAGTCACATTAAAAAAATAAGCTTATCTGTACTGTGTGATTATTTTCTATATTATGTGCACCCTGGTGTTTCTGTGCTGTTTATATCTGAATTATATATGTTTAATGGTTATAATTTAATACAACCATTAACATTACATCACATTGAACCAACAAGGACAATTTATCACTTCAGGTATGGCAGTAACCTTGTTTTTCCACCTCATTGAAACTCACAAGGAAGCATTGAGTTTGTAATTTGTCATTGCCAGGTAGTTTGGAGTTTTGATTGAGTCGGCATCTCACTACACATTTTAATGTGGTTTTCTTTTCTAAAAAATACTTTTGCCAAATCTAGTATCAAAACGTTCACACACACAGGATGGGTTTTAGAAATTAGAATTTGAAACTCAAAGCACCAGGTGAGAAGCTTTACCACCAACTAGAAGTAGTCCAATTTGTTAAAGATGCAACAGCATCAATACAAATTTGAACATGCTTTCATTTTCAGTCATAAGGCCAGTTGTAATGGTAGTGTGCAAGCTTTGAAATTGTTCACATCTCTCTGTAGGCCTAGTTCGAACCAGGCAGTCTAGTGAAACAGAAAATTGTTACCCAGAACTACCAACCCGAGTCCCAAACCTGCTGCTCTTGAAAATAAATATAACTCTAATGATCTTTAATGTTGATCTTTCTTTCATGTACTTGACATTCTTTTCTGGTCTAGCCTGGCTGTGAAGGATACTTTTTCTGATGATCTTATTCCTGAACTAACCTGTAAAATCTGGATTACCTTCTTTATTATGTGTAAATCAGATTCCCAGCCTGAATCTTCCAGGTAATACAGAACCATGTCAAATCAGGTAGCTTTGTAAAACAGTCAGCTCAATAAACATTAAACTTCTGTGACTAATTCATAGGTTAACATACTGTATTCAGTTTTACCGTGCTCCTCTTTTTAAAGGTGTTCAGTATGAGGACACTCACAGTCAAAGGTCATGGTTAAGTGCTTTTTAATTAAAGTAATCAGCGTAGATATTCTGTTGCTTAATTGTACAAAACATCATAAGAACCATGTTTTCTGAAAATGATCCTGGGAGAGATTGATTTTAGTATAAGTGGATATGTTTCACACTTTGAACTGTGACTCAATGGTAGTATTTGGTCCAAAGCATCTCTTTGAAAGCTCTGTAGGTGTTTTTTGAAAAAAAAAAAGTAAAATGTATGCCTCAATTTATGAATGTAGCTAATTCCTAACTGTTTGAGAGATGAAAGTGTGTAAACTGATCATGAAATTCTTATTTCTATACTGTATATATTAAACGTTCTAATTCATTCTTGGGGTTTAGAAAATTACCTAGCAGATATCTGAATCGTCAGAATAAGGAAACTGCTTATATCCCTACTTGACCCTAACACAATAGTTAAGATGTATATACGCAGATAGATATAGATAGATAGATAAAAATTTAATATGTAAAAAAGACACATTGAGCAATTGCATTGTAGGAGGTCACACTATGAAGATGGCTCTTCCATTTGGCTGTGAGAGGCACACCTGCCTTGTAGTAAAAATCTCTAATGGGTATATTACTTTTTTTCCCTAAACAAGCAGGTTTGATGATTCAGTGCTGTTGTTACAGTACTTACCTCCATAAAATATTTAACAAGACAAATAGACCGAATAAAACGTGTAAAAATTCTAAGAATGCAGACTTACTGATGAATTGTCGTGGGAGGTCAGGATGGCATTTTCCATTTGGTTGCAAATAAAGTACCTTCATTGTTGTGAAAATCTCTTTGTAACTGCAAAAAAGTTATGAAATAGCTCGCTTTGTTATAGAATCATTTTTTAAACTCAGTGTTTATAAATTGAAAGATACAGTGGCTGTCAAAACTATTCCACACTCTTTTATTACTTTTTGTTCTGTTTGAGTGTGGAATCATAATATGTTTAGTTGGGAGTTTTTGCTATTAATTTACAGAGAACACTCTATAAGCAGTGAAAACTAAATTCTACAGATCCTTCTAAATTATAAATATAACGGAAAATAACTGATTAAATAAGTATACAGTCCTTTTGAGTCAATATTTGGTAGAGGCACATTTGGCAAAAAAATACAGCCATGAGTCTTCTTAAATTCGTTAGTACCAGATTTGTATATTTGATCCCTGCAATTTCTGCCCATTCTCTTTTGCAAAATTGCTTAAACTACCTCAGGTTGGATGGGAAAAGTCGTTGAACGCAATTTTCAACTCCTCACACAGATTCATGATTGGATTGAAGGCCAGACTTTGACTGGCCATTCCAGAACATTGACGTTTTTCTATTTAAACCACTCCAGTATGGCTTTGGCTGTTTGCATTGGGTCTTTGTCCTACTGGAAGATGAATCTTCTCCCAAGTCCCATGTCTCTTGCAGACTGCAGGATTTCTCTGTACTTTGCTGCATTCTTTTTTCCTTCTATCTTCACACCTCTTCCAGGCCATGATGTGGCAAAACACCCCCATAGCATGAGACTGCCACCACCATGCTTCACAACAGGGATGGTGTTTTCAGGATGATGTGCACTGTTACACTTGTGCCAAGCAAAACACTTACTGTTGAAGCCAAACAGGTCAATTTTGGTCTCATCAAACCATAGAATCTTTTTCAACTTGGTCTCAGAGTTTTCCACATAAAATTGAAGTTTTCCACAGTTTTTTGTCACTCATCCATCCAACAAACTCCATTTTCCATTCAACAATTCCCAGACTCCATTCAACAAACTGTGTGTAACTTCTAAAGACATTGGGCTGCCCCAGAGCCTATTTAGGTGTGTCATAGTGAAACGGGGCGAATAATTATACTTATTTTGTGTTTTATATTTATTATTGATTTAGTAGGATCTGTAGGAACTTGTTTTCACTTTGACATTGTGGCGTGTTTTGTGTTGATCAATGGCAAATAAATTGTAAATAAACACATTGTAATTCTATATTGAAAAAGTCCAAGGGGTATATACTTTTGATAGCCACTGATTTTGTGTACTAAAAGTAATGACCCTGATCACTCATATGACCCGATAATCATGAAATAGAAGCTTCTGAAACATATCTCATGTTGGTCAGATAGTAGATTTAAGAGTGAACGTTAAGATCCAGGTTGAGTCTGTTTTCAGTTCTGCCAGGGCTGTCTTTTTTCATGCAATATTTGTTCTTTACAGGACTCTGTTGCCCTTGGTGCATAGACCTGGGACTCAGAGTCGCGTATCTCTAGCCCCAAAACTTGCCCATATGAAATTCAACAGTGAATATTAACTTGGATAAACATGTATTGTACTTATTGTTTTTGTTTTTTTCCTGACAGTCGTAAGGGAGCCTTCTCGTGTGTCTCTCAGGAGGTCAGCTGAAATCAAAGTCAAGCTGGATGCCCAGAAGGGACCTGTCTTTGAACCCACAGACCTGATGCTCAGTGACATAAAACCGCAGATAACGCAAGGTAAGCCCCATCCTTCTCCCTCAGTACAGCTTCCACTGTGCTGTCCCCTTTTCGTCATTGGATTTCTGCCTAGTGGAACGGTTACATGAAAAGAGTTATACATTTTTCTTCATGCTGAAAAGAGAAGAAAAAAACACAAGAAGAAAGCTCCACAGTCAAAATGTTGGAGCATGGAATAAACCTTTACTTGTTCCTTTGCAGCCTACACATTCTGATGCAGCTACCTACTGTACTTGAAATACATTTTACTCTTCCAATGGTAAATTCATATACCCCAAAATTCAGATGGATTAGACCATCTGTTGAGGATCCTTGAGAGGTAGCCCACTTTATCCCTAAACATACCTTTTACTTTCAGTGGATTTACAAGGCGGACAAGCTCATCTGGAATTTGCTTTGTTTTGAAAAGGACTGAGGTTACACAACCTTGGGTAGTTTCATTGGGAGGTTGGTGATTCCATTTCCAGTATCCAGTTTATGACATTGGTATGTTAATGGATTTCCACAATGCAAGAGAAGAAGCACCATCACTTAACAGGAGCACCCTGCTGTGCTTAGCAACCACTGTGCACAGTAAAGGTGACCAGAAATGCTTTTGCCTCTCATTTGATTTTTTAGTGGCAAGATGGTAATACTGTAGCGCTTTCTGCTTCACGTGGGTATGTGCCCTCGCCGCTGACGCCTCAGGTCGGCCCCCACTGCTGAGGACTCGAACCCAGGCCTCTGGCGTCACTCAACAGGGAACCAGCCAGCTGAGCTAAAGGGAGATCTCCCATCAGCCCGGCCGCTGAGGTCCCTGCTATTCACAGGGAAGGGCGGCGATGTCACCGCGCTGGCAAGCCGGCTTGCAACAACCTGTAATGTTGGCCGTATGTGTTACAATACACATGATTACAGGGTTGGAGACCTCATGGGAACACTTTAAATGTTTTTCAGAGACTTCTTCCCTTTCCTTCATTCTGCTTAATACATTAGCATTGAGCCATTGGAAAAAGTCAGTGGACTGCATGGTGGATGGCATTATAGATGCTCGGAAGACTTATGGGATGAGAAACTTTGGGTGGGGCATGGATTCTTAATCATCTCTCAAACATCCCAGAGGACCAGGCAGAATTTTGCCCAAAGAAGAACTGCTGCAACCAGCTAGCTTTGATCAGTACACATGATGCAGGTCTTCAGTGTAAGTTATTGACAGGTATTGCCCTCATTTATATATCTGGTTTACAACACAGTCTAGAATAATGTCTCTTTCTCAAACTCTTCTATGTCTGGAAGACATTTGATTACCTTAAGGCTTAAGGAGAAGGTAGAAGGAGGAAACTTATCTTGGGCATCTCTTAAAGCTCCCGGGCACTTGTCATTCTACAGATCTGGATGCTTCATCTTCATCTTCTAGTATGCTCTATCTCAGAATTCTACTGAAACCAGACCTTTAATTGTTACAATAGTTAGCTGGTTGTAACAGACACCTAGAACAGATCACATTGGAAAGGTCCCTATATTGAGACAACCCTCTAAATGTGTTCAGTTTAAACATTCAAGTTTTGATTATTATTTGAAGATTTTTTTTAAAGAGTATACATTAATTATATATATATAATTATATTCACCTAGTTGGACGTGATTGGCAGATGGTAAGGCCCTCTATCTGAAGGATGTTTTGGCATCATTTAATACCTTCCAACTGCTCAGCTAGTGTGCGCTTCCTGAACTTGTTCAATTTTTCCCTGGAATCAAAATCCCATGGAAAGTCTTTGTGGATTGCCAGTGGCTTTACAGCCTCAGCAGTTCTGCCACGACTATCTTGAGGTTTAAAACCTGGGCGTCTTGGTAAAAAACAGAACTGCAATCTAGTTTTATAACCTCATGATACTCTGAAAAGTCTTTTTTATTATCTCAGTAACAGTTCAACTACTGTGATGCAGTTTTGGAAGTTGAACCGTTTTGTTCCCCCCAAAATATTTAAGAATGCATGGAACTGGATGGAACTTGAATCCATTGTATCTGACAAACTGTCCCGGACAGATTATTTTCAATCTGGAGTGGGGCCTATACTGAGACAACTCCCAACGTAATCTGTAATTTTTGACACCAACCCACATAGCGTTAAAGAAAGAGCTCCACGCACGAAGCACTTGGAATAGTGTTTTTTTTATGCCGAGGCTGTCACTGATAGCTGCCGTTTGGGTTTTAATGACTCGGCTCCCACCAGCTAAACGTTACTCAGGACTGGAACATTATACAGCCATGCCGCTTTGGGCTGGGGTCACTCCTGGGGCAGCCAGTCACTTTACACAGCTGAGTCTCCGTCAGGCCGTCTTGCTTGTGCGATCCAGGCAGTATTACGGTCATGTTAGAAGGCAGCGCAGATATAAATGTCAAGATAGTTGAGCTGCAGCGGAAGATGGGCTCAGAACTGGAGCTTGTAGCAAGGCTCATGTTACACTCTAGCCTAATTAATCCAGACAAGCCATTATACCTGCCAAATGTATAAATAAAGTGTTCTGTTGCACCATGCTGATGTGATCCTCTGATAACAATGATGGCTTGTCAGGGGCCTATTTCCCGAAGGGGGAATCGCACAGCTTGTAAAACGATAGGCATTTTAAATCAAAACAATATAGCCGCCTCCTCCCCCTTTTTTTTTTTCTCTGGTGCTCAGGCTTTCTTCTTCTGTTAAAAAAGATTGCATGTTTATGACATTAATGGATGGGTGCTGTTGGGAGGTTCCCTAGATATCAACTGCACATTTGCAAAATCAAACTTGAATCGGAGCTGGCTGCACTTCAAAAATGAAGAAGAGAAGGCACACTTTCAGGTTAGGACCGTATTTGCATTTTTCTTTAGGAAAACGAATGCAGTCGCAGACCGTAAGACAGTAGTTGTGTGCAGTGGCGTGTTCTACTTCAGTCATTCTGCGCTCAGCAGGGATCCTTGATCTGGATGGAATCCAAACCTTCTGTCATTTCAAGCTTCAGAGGTGACACCTGTTGTGGTACTGTTACATCCATTTTCTCCCTTCGGTGGAACTGTCTCAGTGTGTTAAGAGTAAGCTTTGACATTGTCAACATGTTCTTCTGTTAATTGCTTCCACTAAATATCTGAGCAGCACCTTTGGTGGTAAAATGATGTATCAAGGAGGGTCGTGCTGATTATTCAAGTGAATGTCCTACATTCCTTACACATTGCACATTGGCACTACCTCTTTGGTTGTGACCCACATGTGAATTGCACAGTTCTCCATCATAGCCCTGGGCCTCATTCAGGTGTTTCGCTGCTTGACACCTTTTAATATCTTTTTAAAAGCATTCCAAAAGGAGCTCTCATTATAAAATGATTCATTTCTCACCTGAGCTACACTGCCTAAATATCAATATAATTATTTGGAGAATTCCTGACCCCCTGGACAAGTATCATTATAACTTAGATATTACATTACACACCAATTTGAAAAACAAAGCTTTTCTAATCCAGAGTCTTCTGAAATCAAGAAATTGCTATGGTGCTGTAAAAAGAGCTGTTAAGAAAAATGTGTGCAATACAGTGAATTATTTTTAGAATACTTCAGTAGAGTTTAAAATAGCATATTCTTAACATAAGCAGAAAATAAGAATATAAAGTAACCACAATCTTTAATCTTTGCAGACAATGACCGAACAGGAATCTACTCCTTTATTGCAATCTTAAATTAAGCTTAAAGGTTACTTTTTTTTTTGTCCTGAAACTTCCAAAATAAGTAATGTCAGAATGGAGTTCTCCTTCTGGATGTAAAGTATAATCTTGGTTGCAGGCATGCTCAGTTTGTATGTTTACAAGGGCCAGTGTTCTTGCATGTGATTCTAAAATCCCTTCACTATATTATTTCGCCAATTCGGATAACTCACTCCTTCCAAGACTGATACCAGAGGAAGTTGAAAAAAGGTTTCTGAGTGCTGAATTGCCAACAGGATACTGTAAGGCGATTACGCTATAACAGCTGTCAGGCACTCTTATGACAAGGGACAAGCCCTGCCCTTATTCAAGATGGAATTAGGATCTTGATCTGCAACAGGACATTCTCCTGTAATCTGTAGTGTAATCTGATCTGTTTCTGTGATGTCACCTACCAGCACTCTCACCAGAAGGGGTTTATAAGACGTTATCTAGGCTCAATGATTCAACAGGTCTTTTAGATGATCTAATCACTAAATCACCTCACAAAATGGTTAAATTGCTAAAAGCAAATGTCATAGTTAGGGTTACCCCCTACTTGCAAGAATAATGTTTGTTTTGGTAGCAGAGTATGCCACCACTCTCTACCCAACACCCAGAGCACAATATATGAAAACAAATACAAAGAACACACATTCTAAACAAAACAAGTTCCCCATAGGACCCCCGATACCAAACAAACGTTCAAACGTCCTCCATGTAGTTGTTTGGGTGGTTTTTAGGCATTTTCTCCGGTCCAGGCTATCCCAAACAAATGGTTCCCACTTTCATTTCTCTGTGTCCAAGGTCAGGTGAAGAGGAGTGGGAGGAAGATGATGCTGGAGTCTTCCTCAGCTCCTCCTTTAGAGTCCCTGTTCTTCTCTTCTCTTAGAGTCCTCTTCTGGGTCCTATTCTGTTATCTGTCCTGTAAACCTTCCTCCTTCCTAAAATTCCAGTTTTGCCCTGGCTGGTTGGCTTTAAAATTTAATGTTCAGTAACGCAAAGATCTTTTTCAAAATGTTTTCATACAGGATATTCAGTCAGGTTTTGTACAGTGCCTTCAGAAAATATTTGCCCGCGTGTCACAATTTATACTGCAGACTTAAATAAAATACGTTTATATGGATTTTTTGTCACCCGTCTACACAAATTATTCCATAATGTCAAAGTGAAACAAAAGTTCTGGAAATGTACTTTAAAGAAAATGCAAGAATCTTAACTGGATTCATCACTTTTCCTATGATACTCTAAATTGAGCCCAGGTGCAACTAATTTCCTTGTGAGATCACTCTAAAATTCGAAAGAAGTGCATTCGAATGGGTCAGTTTCATTGACATGATGGCTGACATGATTTTAGAAGAAACTTGTCTGTAAAAGGTCCCTCAATTGACATGTGCATGTCAGAGCAGAATTACCAAGGAGCTGTCTGTACAACTTTGTGATAGAATTTATAAATCTGGGGAGGGGTCTAAAAACATACCTAGGGTCTTGAAAGTTCCAAGGTGAAAAGAATACAGAATCACTCACATTTTTCCCGGAGCAGGCAATCCTCCCAAACTGAGCAACTGGGAGAAAAGCACCTTTGCTTAGAGAAGTGACTAAGCAACCAGTGACCATTCCTACAACTAAAGAATTCAATGGCTAAGATGGGAGAAACTGTCCAGAGGACAATAATCTCTGCAACAATCAGAGGACGGCAATCTCTGATTTAGCTTCTAGATAAGAAGCCACTCCTGAGAAAAGGCCACATACAGTAATAGCAAATGGCTGACCCCGAGACCATGTGGCAAAAAGGCTATCTGGAGCCTTCTGAAAGAAATATTGGCTGGTTCAAACCGAATACCAGTCATCACCCATGTAACCATCCCTACTATGCAATGTGGTGGTAGCAGCATCATGCTTTCAGCGGGGACTGAGGTACTAGTCAGAATACGGGGAAGAAAGAATGGAGTCAAATACAGGCAAATTCTTGAGGAGCACCTGTTTCAGTCACCAAAAGACTGTAAAAAAAAAAATAGGACAGTGACCCTAAGCATTCTGCCACATTCACAATACAGTGGCTTTAGAACAGGAATGTGAATGGCCCAGACTTGTATCCCATTGCAAATCTGTGGATAGACGTGAAGATTATGGTTTATTAAATCCCTCCATCCAACTTGACAGAGCTTGAACAAATCCGTAAGGAAAAAATCCCCAAATCCAGATGTGCAAAGCTGATACAGACATACCTAAGAAGATTCAAAGCTGTAATTGCTGCAAAAAGGGGCTGAATGCATCACTAACCAAGATATTTGTTTTTCATATTTTAATTTTTTGTTATACAAAATATTTTAGCCCCTTTAAGCTGTTGTGTATGTTTCAGTGCATTAAAATTTCTAGTTATAATGTTTTGGATAGAGGGCTTGATGAATACTTTTTGGAGGCAGTGTTACTGTCGTTTCCTTATGGGTTTACAAACTTATGAAATAGTCATTGTGAAGTATTGTTTCAGGTTACTGAATTCTGAAGGAAAGACATTCCCAGCAATGGGTTCTGCAGCTGCTCTCAATGAAACCGCCTTTGTGAATTGAGGTTTGAAGCGTGTGCCTTCAGTTGAAAATGGGGTTGTCTCTTAGGTAATTATGTGAACTGTAAATCAAATATCTCATTGATTATAGATTCCTAGTGAAGTTATTTGTATAGAGGGGCTGTTTCAACTTCACTTTGGCTTTTCAGCCCCGTGTCTGGAAAGCAGATGTTCACCGAGGCTTTGCTCGAAATGATGTATTTATTTTTCAACATCTGTGATTGAGAGCACTGTAATAGCTCTAAAATGCAAATTTAATCAGATTACTTGTACGGATCTTGTATTTCTAGGTAAAGGAATTACGTAGTTAGAGCTGCAATACTACTCCTTATATAAACTTTTGACCAGTCGTGAATCTTTAACTTGTTTCTCACAGAAATTTGAACGATAATTATCCATGTTTAACTGTTGCATAATGTTAGGGGAATAAACCAGAACATTTCTTGTGATACTGTACATCATTTGCTCTGTTTTCTAGTATATTCATGATAGGTTTGGGATTTCCTGTGGCCTTGATTCATTGTCTTATAATCCATCACTGTGATTTTCGTGCCAGCATGTTGCCGTGCAGCTGTGTTGTCTGGTCACTTTTATTCTTCACAGCTGTGAGATTTTTGTTAATCAGTATAGATTTCTGGGCTCACGTTTGGCCTTTTCTGCATTCTTTGAATACACTTTACGACCCTGCAGTTTTTAAGGGTGTCTCTACTACACCACAGGCTCGTGGCTTTTCTTTGTTATTGTAACTGACCTTTTATATTTTGAAGACTCACTTTCCTGTGTCTGAATTTGCTTCATAAATATTTTGTGTTTTCTGCAGATCCAGAACCACTCACCTTGCCTCAGGACCATTTAAGAGCCAAGTGGGAAAGTGCCCTGGGACCGGAATATGAGGTCATGGTAAGGGACAGGATCCTTGCAGTTTCCTGCACTCTGGCCTGCATTAAAACAAGCCCTTTGCCTGTCTGTCAAGGACTTGTTCCTGAGGTGTGATCTGATGGCAGCATTCAGCTTGCATTACACAGTATAAAACTTTCATGGGATGTGCAATTGGATTTTTGTTTTGGGTATATTATACTCTACGTTTTCATTTAATTTTGGCATTGACCTGAAAGGCAATGTACAGAGAGTCACTCACCCAGTGTAGCCCTTCCTTTCCACTCTCCCATAAGTACTTTAATGCTGTCAGTGAACCTGCACCAGCTGAACTGTAAAGACAGCATGCTACAGCAGCAGTGTTTAGTCATGCGGTACAGATAAATGGCTGTTAGGTAACCCTGATCCTCAAGCATACAGGTGCTACACAAGGCTACATCATTGAAACTGGAACATTCTTAGAATGGAAGTGATGTTTTGGAACTTATTGTTTTTTTTTCCTTGAGGAGTGTTGTACAGTGTAGTCCATAGTATCTAAGCATCTGGACAGTGACACAATTTGTGTTGTTTTGGCTCTGCACTCCAGCACATTGGATGTTTTAAATGAAACAATGACTATGGAGTTAAAGTGCAGGATGTCAGCTTTGTCCCCTAAAATGGGAGGACTATGTGTAAAAAGAGCTTTAATTCTTAACCCAATATAGACAAATACCCTCAAATTAAAGCTGACATTAAGCGCTTTATCTTTGTCATTGTTTCATTTCAAATCCAATATGCTGGAGCACAGAGCCAAAGCAACAAAAATTGGCGCTGTCCAAATAAGGACTGCACTGTATGTGGGGATATACTGTTCATTCTGTTACACCAGAATCAGAATTTGTTATGGAATGCTGCTACCTTCTAGCATGAGGGAGAAGGTTAGTCTGCAGTTGAACCAAACTGCACTGTACTCTTAATCAGATTGCAGTGGACTGTCCTATTCCAGATCAAGAAGCGAGACATCCTAGATTATTTATGTTAGTGACCATTGCCTCCATCTGAAAAAGACACCCATGCTTTAAAATAACTTGCAAAAGTATCAAGACTCACAACAATCTTGTACAACCCCAATCTTATACTGATGTAAGCACCATGATCAATATACAGAAATAATTAAAATAGATGTGATAGCTGAAAGATAGTCTTTTCTCTTCATTGGTACTCACAATTACAGCCTTTTAACAGAAGCTGATTCTCAGCTACTGGGTGTGAAGATAACCCACCCATGATGTAGAATCCCAGTGTTCCTGAATTGACTCATCGTTCATTCTTCATATGTATGAGAAAGACTACTTAAACTGAATCTAGTCTTACTCTGTATGCACTGTCATTCTACTCCTTCTGTTTTGAAATAAACCAGACGGTTTAATCTTCCAAAGCTTGATCTTAAAAGCCACTAATTTTTAGATGGTATGCGTGTTTCCCCAAAATCTATAGCTTCTAAATTAACAACACGTGTATATTTTAAAAATGTAATCAGACTAAAAATGCTGGATACCAATAACCATTGTTTGCAAATAACTTTTTCCTGTCTTAACGGCAGACTTAGAATGCGATTCTGTGCATTAACCATTGTGGGTTTCTCTGCTTAGTGTTGGCAGCTGTTACTTGTTGAACTGTATCTGTGTGGAAGGGAGCTTTCTTTTGCAATTAATTTGTTAAAAAAAGATACAAAACATTTCCAGTTCTACATGGAAAGTGAATAAAATACAGAAAATGGCAACATCCGTTTTGTATCTGGAGGTTTCCCCGGAGCAGAGAGACTTCCTTCTCATTATAAATTGGCCTTTATTATGTTCTGCTCTTTGGCTGGCGTTTATAGACATTTAAAGGAGGTATACATTACACTCCAGAGGCCTCCCGAAGCAGAAAGAAAATGTAACTGATCTCTATAGGTTTCTTTAAAAGTTATTTAAAAAAATTGCAGAGAAAATCGCGCTTCCTGAAACTCATATTTCCCTAAATGTATATATTTATATATACCAAATATATGTCCCACAGTACTTGTGCACTGTTTCATGTTTTCCATCCAATTTTATTGCTTTTCCTAATGAGAATCATGGTGGCAGCATGTTGAGTAGAGCAAGCTTTTCAAGCCCAGCTCCAATGGAAACCCCCTTGGAGCCATCCTTTCCAGGGGACAAATCGCCTGCTCCAGCCTCTCTAAATCCTTAATCGTTTGGCTTAGGCTCCTTAAAATTAGCAAGCTCCTCATCCTGTCACAGAGAGTAAACTCATGAAGAAACCTTATTTCACCACTTGCTTGACACTGATCTATTGGTTATTATCCAAAGTCCTTGAACATGGGTGAGGAGATGAGGAAGGGGTTCTTAGGTTGGCTTGTAAACCCAGAAGTCCATTTCTGCTGCACCACAATAGCACAGTGGCTACAACAGTGATGAGGCTTCACCAACTCTCTGATCAGCCTCATTCTCTGTGTAGCAGACAATCCCCCTCCACTAACCTTCCAGGAGAGAAGAAACAAAACAGAAGTTTGTTGTTCTGCAGCCAGGGCAGAATCCACATATTTTCTTTTGATTTTGAGGTGCAGCTACTGGACCGTCATTTCTCCATCCTGTGGGTATTGGCTTTGCAGGGCTAAGGAGAGGAATCCTATTTTTAGCTGGAGCACATCCTCTGGTTCACTTTCTTAAAGATGGGGTGTACTACTCTAGTCTTTCTATCCAGAGGTATCATGTTTGCCTTACGTACAACATTGAAAAGGTGTTACACATGACACCAGATCTTTCCTCGTTGTACAGAAATGTCAATGTCTCTTGGAAAATGCTGTCCAATCCTGCTAGTTTACCACTATAAAGGCACTGTACTTCAACATCAGCAAACGTTCTGCCTACTCCAGAGATTTCCATCTCCTCTTCTTGTAAACCACTGGTATCCTTGAGGTGCTCATTCCTCCTCTTGTTGATGTCTTCAGTTGAGGCCAATGTTTCAACATCTTTGATGAGAACAGCTTGGGTAGCATCTGACAAACTCTCCTCATAAGGAGTTGAATGGTTTTTCTATTGCACCTTTGAGGCTGACTCTGATAGTCCTTTTCCATGACATCTCCAAACTCTGTCCCGAACTTTTCTTAGCTGCTGTGGCCTTTGTTTAGCTGATGATTCTTAGTTGAATCAGGAGACCACTTCAAAATCACAGCTCAGAAAGCCTCCTTCTTCAGCTTGACCACTATCCTCACCCACTGGTCTTCACCATTAGGTCCTTGTCCTTCAGGTCACAGCTTTTTGTGGCCATCTTGATAAAACCACCAGATGAACCCAGGTGTCTCACAGAAATAATTTTGGCATTTTGTGTTTGATCAGTCGACAGCTGTGTGCCTCTCTGACCCAGGTGTCCAGAACATATTGCCTTAGGACTGGTGATACAACTAGGAAGTTGGTCAACGACCTTTGTCCCAAGGTGCTCTGTTATCAGGTACATTTAAGAGCCAATGAGTGTTTGAATATAGTGTTAGCTTGGGATGATCCATGACTAGCACAGAAGATTAGGTTTTTGATCAAAGGTTTAATACTAGAACTAACACGGTTTCGAAGTCAGACTGTTTATATCTGATTGCGTGCCTCGAGTAGTGCCACTTCACTTTCCACACATGGAAATCTTATCTCCATTTCCAAGGTCCAGTCTGTCATGATCAATCCCTGTCATCGCCATGCTGCCTGGTCTTTAACTCGAGCTGGCATGTGGATCTTGGCTTGGATTGTTGTTCATCAGGAACCTTGCCTCACATTGGTTTGCCAGCATAGAATACTAGGAGAAGTAATATCTGTGCAACATAGATCTGGTATTCAACAAAATCTCTGTCACTATAGATTAATGATTCTCAGTGTATGCTAAAAATAAATTTTAAATTGCTGATATTTAGTAATATGCAAGAGACTGCCTAAGGTTAGCTAACATGTTGCATAGATCATATAAGGTTGCTCACACCTCTAGTGCGACTTCTGTCCCGGTACTCCTCAACATAAAACAATATAAACAATGTGTATCCCTGGTGCCACTCAGGACCAACGTGTCCCTCTCTATAAAGAGTTTGTGAAACAGCATAGAAGATTGGGGGAGATGATTCCATGTGTGCCTGAATAGGCAAGTTAAAACAGACTCCAAAGATGAGTTGAATCTAAATCTGTTAATCTGGAGTGAGCTCAGAAATGACAAAATTCCATGGGCTCAGAGACATTATGAAAGTCAAGGTAGTAAGATCTCCAAATCGTGTATTAGTTGGATGGATGCAGGTAGCTTTTAAATGTATTTACAAGTTAAATTGCTTAAATTAGCTCAATCCTTTTGCAATATTTTAAGAAAAAACTGTTAACATTCACATCTTCTAGCTTTGTAAGTGACTTCCTGCTTGACATGGCTTGGCTAAAACTGGTATACAGACAGTACGTTGGTAAGATTTGTCCATATGCAACATATTTCTTTTTTCGTTTCTCTGTCCTAGGTAGTTGAACTGGATCCTGTAATTGAAGGTGATGCGGAGCTACAGAAATATTCCAAGGTATGCTAGGAGACAATCATGACAACATGTGGACAGAGACTCCATGTTGAATGATTGTTTGAAGAACATCAGATTATGAATGATTATTATGATTATTATTGATGGGCTCAGCAGCAGTCACACCAGTCACATTCAGCAAAAGCACATTAGTGATAAAAATTCAAACGCCCTCTAATACAGGTAAGCAGTGGGTATCTCAGGTACCATAGTGCTTCTGTAACCGAGGATATTCATCTGGAACCATGATAATACTTACAAGGTTTGTGCAAATTTAAACTGGATTAGTTGTTGTGCTAGACTTTCTAAAGAAAAAAAATATGGCTCAGACTTTGTCTCCGTTTAGAGTACCATGGAGCTTGAACAGTTTATATCCTATTTAATGGGCAGGCAACTAAGTATAGATGGAGAAGTAAGTTATAAAGACTAGAGTTCATCTAGTGGCTGTTAAAAATATACACCTGCCACTGTGGTAGGCAGTGTCTCTTGGCAACCTGTAGCTGCCAGAGGCTTAGTTGGTATTTTTAGGGTGTAAAGGTATTTGCCCTCAACATCAATATCTGGCATGAAGGCTGCCATCAAACATGTCACTAAGAGATCAGGGTGGGTATATAAAGGGTTAAATGCTGGAGAGCAAGATAGATTTATTCCAAATAGGTGAAAGCTTGTGAAATTTAGTGTGGGATTGATTCAGCATGAACGTGTGACATTCAGCATTGTAATAGGAGGGTAGCTGCTTGTCAGAATGATGATTAAATAAATCTCACTTCAAATCCCAACTAATTTTGTGTTGGTCAGCAACTGCTTTTAAAATGTAATAACTCATTTGATAATTTTGCATTTTCAATAGATCATGGGCTTCATTATGACTGACAATTAGTATGTGCTCTTATGTTAGGCAGTTTTATTTTCTTTCACACCACAACAATAAGTTCTTACTCTGCCCTTCCAAAAACATGTAAATGTGCAAGTTGAATTTTGGCAGAATTTATTTAAAATCAGTGCATGGAAAAGGTATTTAAAGAACATCATTATATTGTATGCAGCTGTTAAATAGGAAATGTTGGTAAGGTCTTACTCCCTATCCCTGAATTTGCATTCATGACAGTGACAGAAATGCAGGCTCTTTTAAAACTGCAAGTCTTTTAAAACTGCATTTCGGCCATTGTTCTGCAATTACAATTAGTGTTTTTGTTTGGGAGTCTAGTCTAGTTCTACTAGACAGCAATGCAAATACACACATCAGTCCTTACAGTAATTCTATGTGGGGACTGGTCCATAATGTGAAGTTTCAAGTATCTGGAACACCATCAAACCGCTTATGTATTAGAAAAGAAATCCTATTGTACTGATGTACCCATTGAACAATGACACTGCAGCAACCTCTAACAGCATGCCACTACTGCCTGCCTGGCATCCCCCTACCCATGACGTCTCTTCTTTCAGTTGCTGCCAATCCACACCATGCGGCTGGGAGTGGAGCTGGACTCCTTTGATGGGCATCATTACATCTCCACAGTGGCACCAGGTGGGCCGGTTGCTAAGCATGGCTTACTGAGGCCTGAAGATGAGCTGCTGGAGGTAACGCTAGGCTTTGTTTAAGGGTCAGGGGGAGGGCACGATTCCTGCTTATGACAACGAGATAGTGACACAGCTTACAGTAGATTGCATGTTTAGAATGGATGACTCATAAACTGTTTTAGATTTAGAAAGGCACACGCAATTCAACACCGAAGAGAATAGCAGTGACCCCTGGGAGTTGTCACGGGCCAGCAAAACTGTCAATGCTGGTAGTGAGTACAGCATTCCTCCTCCTGTTGGTGCCAGCTCCTCAGTGTGCACTGTGATGTGAAAAATATTGGATGACTCTGACAGTTGTGGAGGTAAACGTGCTGTCTTCTTATCTGCCGTGCTAGTCATGGTAATAAGGCCAAGTTGATCAATGCCTTCTTATTCCAGTTTGGGGGCTGATGGGTTTTGTTATGATGGCCATTTCCAAATTTTAAAGAAAAGGAAGGAGGTGCAGTGAAGTAGATTGCGTACACGTTCTTCTTTGTTAAGCACTCAGTGAAGACAATTAGCTGCATCAATTGGCTAGGTTCCTGAGAAAGGAGGCAAGTAAATCCCAAAGCATCGATAAATCAGAGTTTTGATCAGATGGTAAAGAATCTGCACACTTGCTTATTTTTTTTTTCTCAGGCCATAAGTTTACTGAAGTAACTAATTGAAAACAGAGGAAGTCCCAATTCTAAAGGAGATTCAAATAAAATACATACTGAAAGCCGACAGAACATTTCCTTTGCTTTAAACCAAAGTACAGGATAGTACAAACACTGCTGTTTGTACTACAGCTACAGGCTGGTGGGCACTTGGACATCTTTAATTCCAGGCCCCAGACAGTTATCTGGAGGACTTACTGGGTTGGGTAAAACATCACACTTCAAGTCCTGCAGTTAACATGTTGAAAAAAACTAGAGTATCACACTCCAGAAAGTATCTCCATGTGGCTGAAATAACCAGAAGCTGCCCTTGAAGAATCAGAATGGTTTTACATCCCTCGATTGAATTACTCTGTTGCTTTTTTGATGCATATCTCCCATCAAGAGGAAGTTAAAAATCAAATAACAGTTCGGTTCAAAGCCATCGGCCATCTCACTGGCTAATCCTCCAGGCACAGTACCTGCCCTTCGTTGTCTATGATTTCCTCTCCAGCTACCTGCTTATTGCCCTTGTCCGCAGGCAGCTCCGTGTGCCATTAGTTTGCCCTGTCCTGAGTGCTGGCTTTCTGTGTGTCCAACAGAAGGCACGTAATCAGTCGAGAGTCCCTCTGTTGTATCTGTGGGCCCTACTGACACACCGAGCTGTTGGAGAAAATGCTGGCAGAGATGTCTTCTTTCGCCTTTGAACATGTTCTGTAGGCGTCTGACAGCCCCACGAGTGAATCCGGTTTGGACACCGTTGTGACTGCAGCCTTGCTGCGAGTCTTTTGTGTGCGGAGCACGTGGGGAATGATACCCGGGCCTGCAGGGGCATGGGGCCGCAGACAGTCCCACTGTGCCATCTGCACGAGTGTCTCCTGCTCCTGCCACATCAGCCGTGGGCTGCCGCCGCTGCCACCCAGCCTGTTATTGTTGGCACTCGGAAAGGAACAAAGACTTGGGGGGGGGAGTGGCACTGCCCGTGCTGCAAAAGCTCAGAAGGGCTCTACTGTGCATGAAAAACAAAGCTACGCTTAAATTAAATAGTATTCACATAACTCAGCCCAGCAGTGCTCGCTAGCAGATCTGAAATGTTGGAACAGGATTCGCCAGGGTTGCTGTGCGAAGGGCCCCCAGCAGATATGAGCCAGCAGAGCCCTATTAAAGCTGCTATCGAGTGGCGATCCTGTCTGCGATTTGCCCCACTGTGCCTCTGCTTTCAGACTGCTTACAGAAACGCAGTGTGGCTTCCTTTTTCAGCCCCCATTGATGTGGTTTTAATGTCTGTGCTCTGTGCTCATAACCATCCTTTAAAGGGGGCAGAACAACCGTTTATGGTAATTTAGGTCCTATAGATTTGAAATCCTCCTCTGTATATTTGAATCCCCTGCGTACCATGTAATTCATAACAAAGGCAGAGAAGGTGTATCTTTCTGTGCAGACATAAGCTGCCTTTTCATGATTACAACTGTATCACCTCCTGCAGCTCCAAATGGAGAAACATACACACACATCTATTCAAAGGTAACACAGCTGTTATAATCATACAATATATTTAGTGTTAAATGTCACTGAGGCAACTTTAACCAAGTTGGAAGTGTGTTGATCCAGAACAGCACAACTATATCCACTGTTTGCTCATAAAACGGCACGATTGCTTAAACCTAAAATATCATTTCTCACAAGTATTGTTAAGATATGAATAGCTCATTATTTTGGTTGGTCTAGGGAAATGATAAAGCTTTTAATTTGATCCTCCTCCCTGAACCTCATTGGTCTAATGAATGGTAGATGTTTTTGTTAGCTTATGAGTAAGGTATTACATATGCTGGTGATCAGTTATAGGGGCACTTGGACAACTTTACATACATGCCAGAAAGAATTGACAATATGAAAACACATTGCCCATCTACTAAGGAAAAGTACCAAAGGACATCTTTTATGAAATCCTTAAGTATACATTTGTCTATTAGAAGTATCCCCCAGAAATCCCCAAATTAGCCAGTACAGATGAAGTTTCCATTAAATGTTATTGAAGTATCATTGTCTCTGTGCTTTCATTACTAATGATCATATTTTTGCTCCTTACTTTTTTTTAATCTTCCTTGGAGTAAGTCCAAACATTGAGGGAGACCTCTGTTTCAAAGCCTGTTGTTTGTTGTGATGTGAGTGTTTCCTGTTGGGGCTGGTTGTGCATTATAAAGAACACTGGAAAGGTTAAGAATGAGAGGCTACTCTGCCCCTCTAGCTACCATCTGTAGTTAAAAATTAATTGATTCCAGGATCTCGTACAGCCATTTCTTGAATTAAGTCTCGGTATCAACTTATTATTTCATTCTCCCACAAAGTTTTGGATAAAGAAGTAACTCCTGTTCTCAGTTTTAATTAGATTAGTTTCCACATAGTTTTCACGTGTTCATTTTTCACCATTTACCTGTTCTTAGTAATTTTCTGGAAGAAAATCAAATAAACCAACTAGATATCAGATGAGGGTTATAGGTCTGTCTCCATGGTTTGGTCTTTCTGCTTCATGCCTAAAAGTATGAAATATTTTGTTTTAGTTGATGAGCATCTTGCTCAGGGTCTACAAGACAATGCATTACTAGCATCCTAATAATGAGGAATACAGCATAAAGAATCCAGTCTCGAAGGATTATGAATGGAGGTTGTGTTTCTGTTTTTTTTCTTGTTTTGACACTGCAATCCCACTGGTGAAATCTTCACCCAGTGCTTTCTCACTTGTGCACAGAAGAATGCAAAGCCTTGTTTTTTTTCTCTGAATTCCTGAACCTGTCCCAGAGTATACAGTACATCCTAAGAAATTCAGAAGAGCCTATATCATCATCCTTACTGTTTTAATGCAAATGGTCAGTTCTTTGCTTTTGATTTTAACACACCAAAAAAAACTGCAACTTATTTGCTATGCAAAGATAGAAAATAAGATAGCAAGGCAATAAAATCAGTTAATAAGAGATATTACTTGGAAAACATATTACAGTGATGAAGCAGACTGAAACACCTCTGCAGTTTTTTCACTGATTAAGTGAATATATTCTGGATTGAAGGTTTTAGCCCATTATTACATTCTATGTATTTAACTTTGTTTGTTTTTAGTTTTTGTGTACTGTGTTTGTACCCATGCAAAGTAAATGAACAAATACATAATTTTGAAGCTTGCTGTCTAATCTGTGTGACATTGCATATCGTCATATAATTGTCCTGTTGCACCCCCTGTTTTTGACAGAGAACTATGTGTTATGGGTTCAGTCAGTAATTAATGGGGATTACACTAATATGGTACAAGTTATTTTAAAATGAATTTAAAAACTGCTTTTCTCAATTTCTCATTCTTTATACTATGTAGTAACTGAACAGTCTGCTGGGTCCAATGAGTTGAATACACGAATGGTCTTTCGCCATTGTGTGGGGGAAGTAAGGGTTAATCTTCTGTGTTATTGGCTTTTGCAAATCAACTTTGGCACAGGAAACCTGACAATACTTTTATATTAAATTCTGGGGTCTATTAATCAGAGTTTATAGCGGTAAGTGGAGTCTTGTGGAATGACTTGCACTGTTGTAAATCTAGTGGTGTGAAACGATGCTCAAATCCTGACCATATGTGCTCTGTGCTCTAGCCTGATCAGGCATTCCTCCTGGGGACTGCACCTGAGCCTGTTTCAGCCTGGCCTGCTTTCTGTTTCAAACCTTTTCAAAGATGTCTGTTTCAGTTCTCTTACTCGGGATTAGATGTGTAGCATCAGACAAACAACAAGTTTTCTTAATCCTTTTTTTAAGCAAATTAATCATTGAGAACAAAGATGATCTGGAGAATATTTACTGTATGCAGCAAGGCATTTACTGGTGGAATTTGAATCGACAATATTACAGCAGCTTTCTACCTGACTTTGGATCTACTGTATGTTCCATCCAAAGCTCTTACTACTACTCCACAGTGTTGCTCCATTTATACTAATAATGCTATTAATTACTCTTTATTAGTTTGCTTAAAGAGTACGTTGTGAAATGCTGATGCAAATAGTATGGTGCTTCACTGCACATTGCTGCAATTGTTAAAAGAGAACGCTTGCATTTTTTTACTTCATGTTTTTTACTTTTTTAGTTCATGCTTCTACTTCATGCCCTCCATGTTCTTTTTCACTGAAGCACTTTTGTCTCTCTGGAGGTGGGAGTGCCTGCCATTGGCATTACTCCAGGAGTGGTGTGTGACATCAGGCAGACAGCAGCCTGAAGGACTTAACCCCCACTGCACAAAATGCAATCTGGCACCTCGAATGCAAGGGATTTAGAACTAATAAGTTTAAAAACCTGTCAGGTGAACAAAGATGAGGACAATTACGGGCATGTTGCTGAAACAGCTGTAAGAACATCGCCTGATGTGTAATACCAGATATTTCTGTATCCTGCTGCTTTCCATTTAACACCTGTGCACACAGTAATGCTGAAATTAAAGGGTGACATAATTGTATGTACAATAGACACTCTTTTAGTATTTTAATTTAGACTCCATCCTCATCTTTCCTGCTTTATACCACTCAGTTTTGTAGAGTAAATCCTGTATTCCACCTGACATCTGTGTCCAGAGAGAGCTGAAGATGATATATCTGTGCCCTCCACAATGTGTCTCTCCAAGCCATCTGCCTTTTTTCCATGCTGCTGACTTAGAACAGTGTTCTTGCCATAAAGGCAACTGGATTTGTCATGATCTAACTGGAGGATTTCACAGTTAGGGTGACACACTGTCTCCTGACCGTTTCTCCAAGTCATGCTTTGAGTTAAAGACAAATTGGGAAGAAAAATAAAACTTGTTTAAAGGGGAGTTTAAGAAGTTCCAGTGTGAACTCTCTAGACTAGACATTGTCGGACCAAGTAGGAGTCTTTAGCCAACAGTGAAAACTGGTGTCAGGTGGGCACCAGCGATCCCTGCGATGTGCTAGTTGCCTGTGTGCTTATGCTGTTGTTAGAGAGAGAGCTGTAGCAGTGTTCCAGTCTGTGTTGGCTCTGCTGCAGATGCTGTAGGATTAAAGATCCCGATGATGCGTGCGTTGAATGAAAGAAATCACTTAGGGCACACAAAAAAGAAGAAAATAAATAAGTAACGGCTGATTTCAGTTTATCTGAAACATTAAGTTCAATTGAGTAAGAAAATAAGTCTTGGTTGCCCACTGTTTAGGATAGGTGCTTCATCAGCTTGTTGGTATTTCCACCTGATCTCTGCCCGCTGTTTCTTCAGGTCAACGGCGTGCAGCTGTATGGGAAGTCCCGGCGGGAAGCAGTGGCCTTCCTGAGAGAAGTTCCACCCCCCTTCACTCTAGTGTGCTGCCGGCACCTGGTCGAAGATGGCATCGAGGCCTCAGTGGAAGAGCCCCCAGAGAGCTTGTTTCCGCCTTTGAGAAAACAGGTGAAGAAAGAGCCCCACAATGGGACTGTACACACAACCTTTTCACATGTTTGAAACCTAAAATGTTTATTAGATATTAATTGAAATTCTAATAATATATTAAGTTAACCCAATGAAACAAAAGACACAAAACATGGTGCCCTTTCAACATGTATTTATTCTCTAATGATGCAACACTCAATATCCATGCGGGATAAAATATGTAACTGGTGGCACCCCCTTGAGCAGTGTCAAACATGACATTTCTCATCCAGGCCAAAGAGTTGTACTTTTAACTCTTATTTCCAGAGGACATAGTTCCAGAATCCTTGTGGATCATCTGTGTGCTCTTCAGTGAGAATCAGATGGATATAAGTATTCTTTTTGAAGAGAAGTGTTTTTTCTCCCTGCTATCCTTCCATGAAAACCATTCTACTTCAGTCATTTTCTGATGGTTCAGTCATGAGCAGTCACATTAGTGAAAGCAAGTGTGGCCCACAATTCCTTGAATGGATCAGCTTCCTCGATGATTCTCCAGTTTGTATAATACAAATGGATATAATATCCTGACGCTGGTTTTATATTGTGCCACATGTTGGATGGAGCGGGTCATTCCTTCACCGGTAATGTTCAAATATATTTTCTCTAAAGGTTTGCACATGATAGCATCAGGAGGGTTGATAACCTCACTCCCCACTGGGTGCCGCAGGCACACTTTGCAGAGCCTGTTGCTGTAAAATTGAAGAAGCCAGCAAGTTCTTTTTGAAGACCTGGGGGGAGCAGAGAGAAAAATTAAATTCAATTCATCCCTTAATCTAAAGTGAGGCCAAAAGGGGGGAATTACATGGAAGGACTCCATGCTTAGGGAAAGTAGGAGAGTGGAAATGTCATGATGTGGAGTCCTTCCACCAAACACCAAGTAATATGTCATCACTCCCCTTTTCATATGAATTTGGATAATTGATCGAGAGTGAATGAAAATACCATGGTAAATGAAGTGTATTTGAATCTTGAGACAAACATGTAGTTAATTCCTGGATTTCATTTTTTTCTCTATCCATAAAAGTAACTTACTTTGCTCCCCCAAGCCATATATTTGCAATTTCAGATAAGACACAATTTCTCAGAAATGTAGGTGCCAAACATCAGGCACTCATCTTCCATTTTGATTTGCCAAGTGTATGATTCATGACAGTATTCGTATCTGTACCCAGAACCTCATCAAACTTGGCAAAATCTGGTTCAGACATGCTAGAGGCATTAGCTAAATTGATATATTTTTAAAAACTCGAAAATACTGGTTTAAATAAATCCATGTTCCTTTAGTTCATTACTCCCTTACCGATTTAAAGACAATTTCTTTGTAATACAACTAAGGCATTTGTTTTGTTCCCTGCGGAACAAGAGGCTGGTGTATTAGCACATGTACAAGCGTCATGCTTCAAATGAAACTCCTGTATTATAACGAAATCTACAGATACTGGACAAAAAATGGAAATACCAATGTAAGGTCACTTAATAAGGCATCAGGCCACCTCTTTGTAATTATTAAATGAATATTATGGTACTGGAATATGCATTTCTGCCCACCATTGCTCTTTGCTGATGATGTTTTTCACTCAGAGTTCCATGGTGACATCACAATAGACACTGTTGCTTGTGAAACATCAGTAAGTTACATTGTCTTGGTCACTGAAGCTCCTGCCGATCATAAACCCCAACAATCGCCCCTCTTTCAAAGTCCTTGAGGTTTCCTCTTGCACCCATGCTAGACTTAACTATAGGCAACCTGGCCTGTCCAGTATTTTATACTGTACTTGACTGTAAACATGCAGGGATGTTATTTAACAAAATGGACACACCTACAGTATGTGGTAGCCCTTACTTTCAGTATATTTGATGTCCCTTACTTACCTTATTTTGGTATCAGTAACTAAATGTAATGTCAAAGAACCATAAGTCTTGAAAGAATGAAAGATACACAAAAGTTGCTAAGTAGGCTTCAAGACCCTAGTGGCAACAGAAATGATATCCTTAAATTAACTCTTTAATTAGAAGTTAAGGAGACTCCTTGACTCCTTAGCCGTCTCCTTAACTAGGCTTATTTCTGTCTGTTGCTCCTATTGTTGACTAATAAACTCTATAGCTTAACTGGTAACAAAGTCCATCAATATTAGTTTTTTAAGCAATTGTCTTTAAAGTGCAAACCGTAATGTTGTGTTACTAACGTTTGGATAAAGAGGACTTTTCTGTTGAGAACTGTGTTCATTGAAGCCAGCAGAAATTGTTCCATAGCACAGTGAATATAGAAAGAGCTGGGTCCAATTGACTCATTCTGCAGCTGGGAGTTCAAAGTCTGGCAAGAGTGAGAGGGATCCAAGAAAAACATACAGATGGGATGAAATGACAGTCGAGAAGATGAAACGGACGCCACAGTGCCCCAGTGCTAATGCTGCAGTGAAAATACAGGGCGGCTAATGACAGCCCTACCAGTAGAGTAGCCAGGCTATTAGAAAGGGACATAAACCTGCTTCATCTCGAAACATTTGTTGTATAAGCTTTGCAGGCATGCAGATGACATAATAAATGATGATTTTTATATAACCATGAATGACTGAGTGAGTGCTGGGAGCTCAGAGTTGCTCTTCTGACTGGTGCTCTGTATTATAGCTTCTTCTAGGTGAGGGCAGACGTGTGTCTGTGATTGGCCTTGGCAAAATAGATCCTCTCTACGTGTCTGGCTGAAACACTGCAGTTTGCAGGTCTACAATTAGTCCTCTTGTACTGTGCGGTACGTTGTATTTGTAGCAGTCTGGATGCCAGAGAACATGGGCTCCACAGAGAATGAAGCCGGTGTGGTTCAAATGATGCAATGAGTTTTCTTGAGCCCAGCCACAATGGTGTTGGTTGACCAGTTGGTGCCAATCTTTCTTCTGGGCTAGCAGATTCAATCCAACTTCGCAGTGTGTTGTAAAGCAGACGTCCTTTGGTGTTGCCATATCTTTACTGTTAATAATGTATTGAGAATATTAATAACTAATTAATAATATTAATCCCAGTGCCCTCTTTGTAACAATAGTGGTGTTAGCACCTGGTTACCTAGCATTGTCCAGTACAAGATGTTTAAAATATATAATGCTATTTTGCACTCAGCTTGGGTCTTCCTTTCTCCAGGGACAGGTGATCCTTGAGGAAGATGAGTGGGAACAGATGGAAGTGCTAGCCAAGCGACAGGAGGAAGACGAAGATGAAGAGGAGGAAGAAGAAGGGGAGCTGGCAATGTGGTCACCGGAGGTCAAGGTGGTGGAGCTGGAGAAGGAAGACCGAGGACTTGGCTTCAGCATCCTTGATTATCAGGTACTATCACAGCATGGGAGTCCAATCTTAAGGCACTTCACACACTCCTAGTCATCCAGTTAGGCCTATCACAGAACTCAGTAGCCAGCCTGAGCAAGCATGAGCTGGTCAAGGGCATTTTCAACTGAAATCATTATAGGATCCCTACTGGATCACTTGAGAAATTGATTCATGACGTGCAAGACTGAAACTATGAATAAGGTTACTTATTTTTGATGGGACTGCACTGATCCAACATGGAAAAACAATCAAGGTACCCAGTCCCCACTGTAACTATTGAAGAAACACCTGGCTGGTTTGAAACAGTTACTATACAACTATTGACTATTAAAACTAATGTTGGCAGACCTGGTTATAACACTAACCCTGGATGTGGTCTCAAAGCTTCTTCATAAACTGGTGATCTTAAAGAGTTCTGGGTCTGTTTAAACTGGACACGATTGTATATTGAATGTTAAAGTTCCCTTCAACTGAAAAACCTTAAAAGGATCTCTCCTGGGCTCAGATAAGCATGTTTTTTTTTTTTTTTGCTTTTCTGGGCTGAGAACAAAAAGAATGACTTAATAAAAGTACCTTTCACAAGAGCTTGATTTACTTGGAACATTACCAGATCTGAAACATTGGTCTATCTGATGAGTTGAAAATAAATAGCAATTTTCCTTTACTTCATTGACGTTGTAATAAGAGCATTGCTCTCTTTCATTAGTAATTATGAGCAATCACAGAGCCGTAACTAAGACAGCAGTTACTGCCAAACCTAGGGTCTAATACCTCAGCTCCAGTTTCTACTTAAGTCGGGTCTTTCAGTGGACTGCATTGCAC